TAATCCTTTTATTAACCGTATCGAGGCCCAATCAATTTCAGATCAATATGCTTGATTACGTTGCGTAGAGTTGATAGATGATCGCAAGCGTATTCAACAAGCGCATATATTAGTAACAGAAATAACGACACAGACATGTATCTATTGTAAAACGACATGGATGTACGTGGATAAGCGCCTCTGTGCCGCCGTTCCAAATGCAAAATACCTTCGGAGCCATATAATGGCTATTTTTAATAATCGTAGTCCACAGTCTGGTTCATCGTAGTCATGTTTTAGCACGAGTTAATATATTATGTATAAATAACTGTTGCATTGCTCCGAATAGCAAAGTTACTATTGACAAAGTTCAATTTATTCGGCCTCAAGTAGCTCATTTAGAAGTTATGATGTTAATCTTCGCGGCACGCATTTGACCGCGCTAGTGTGTTTACCAGCATACCGCCGTATACCCCTTCTGTTCAGCGTTAGCTGCCGACCGTGGGCCATCGGTATGCGACACCCGTGTAGGACTACTCGACTAACAATAGTAAATAACCCGTGGTAACGCGACTACAACTTTTAGGGAGTTACAATAATGCCCAACGTACCAGTACTTTCGTGTCGTTCTTGGGCTCCTGCAGGACAGACTTTTCCTGTTTGAATCGCGCTGTTGTATGCCAAATTTGGAGCATTCCAGCGTGATTCTGCGGCACCTTCTTCCGGCGATTTCGCAACCAGAAGGCTCTTCGGGGAGTACAACCCGGTAACCGAAAATCAGTATGAATGGCGTCCTTCGTGGGTTATGTGGATATGTCGAGCGAAAACGTTGTCCGGGAAAGTAGTTTGTGGAGCGAGGTGTGTCCTTCTGTTACAAGAAACGCCAGCCCAACTTATCGTCTTCCGACGTCCCTACTGCCGGAATAATTTGTTTAAATCGCATCGCACATTGCTACTCCCGGGGTATAACGTATCCCTTAAAGACCCAACAATTATAATTACAAGGTGGACATTTGTTTTTCTCGATAAGCATAAAAACCACGACGTCAAACACCCCCAAAACCGCTAGTGGGGCGTTTGTCATGCCTCTCGGCTATACCGCGCTTGGCACCACTCGGCGATTGAAGCTGCTCTTGGTCGAAGCTTTTGAGTTTCTATAACTACGGGAGGGTCTGCTCAGCTTCTCAACTTTAAGAGTTGACAAATGCAACAATATTTAGTTTCTGCTGCATGAATACACCACACAAGAAGCTTAATTGACTGAATGAAGAAAAGCATATCTTTCGGCAGTTTGAGACAGTTCCCATAGCAAAAGACAAGTGAAAACTATCCGCAATCAGCTTCGGATCCCGTTTTTGTTAAACGAGATGAAACCAATAGCAGCAAAAATGGCGCCATATCATGCTATACAACTAGCTAATAATACCGTTTCGGGAAGTGAGGAGCAGACGAGCAATGCTAGTTGGGCAGAGAAGCTCCGTTGCCGTTAGGTCCGCTGTTCCCTGCGACAACAGGCGCAGCAGCAAAGCGTCCATCTACTGCGTTTTGCGCCAATGTGACACCATTACGGCGTCCGCTAGTTCTAGTGGCTAACGAATCGTCATGGAAATTTTGGATACTTCGTTTACGTTTTATTTAATCATGACCGTCAGTATAGCTGCTGCCTCTCGTGCTAAGCGAGACATTAGGCGTGAAGACTGTGGTCTTATGAACGTTACGTTTAAGTGGCGATGCCTTTTCTCATCAAAGCTGGTGATAGGATTTCTTCTGCCAGCCATCGAAGATCGCCCTCTAATGGCCCCCTACCATAGTCCATAAACTACATTTAGTGGAACACACCGAAAGTAAAAGCGGCTAAAGGGAAATGCGACAGAAGCAACGTCTGTAGTAGCGTGCCCGCTGTAGCAAGCAATCGTTGGGTGCCTTATCGTCATCATCGGCTTCGCCGCGTCCGTCTGTCTGCTTGCAAGGCAGAGAAAAACGACGAAGTGCGAAAGAAAACGAGTGGGCTAGGGGCAGAGGGTAGTATATGGAAGTTATTACCCCCTTGTGCAAACAAACGCAAATCTCTTCCTTTTATTTTGTAGCGACCTCCAACGCCATTGCCTGTGCTACTCGTAGATACTAATAACGTCCGCGTAGTAATGGCAATAATAACCATATAATAATATTAATGCCTATAAACTAACGGTTAATGAAACAGGGCATCGCCTTCATAATATTACGGTGTCGTTCGGCGGAAAGCTAGCACGGTATTTACTCAACTGAAAAAAATAAAGCAATCGAAGGTATGGAACCAGATCGAGGTGAAACAATGTTTAAGAAGACATCGTATATACAGTAGCGTACAAAACAAGAGCTGCTGCCAGTTCTGTTGATTGCTATGTGCTTCATGACTGCAAAACGGAAAGTAAAAAGAGCTTGTTATGTAGTCGTGCATTTTTATTTGATTGACATACAGCTGATTTATACAAAACAGGAAAAAGGTGCCAGTGTGATTGATTTGTGGGTGACGTGGTTACCGTTAGTGTTAGATACCCGCGGTCACTTAGGTTCAAATTCGGGCGTGGTCACGCCTTTTTTTTCCGTATTCCGTCTGATGAAATGTCTAACGCCGATACCGGACGTAACACTTGAAAAATTTCATTGAGTTCAGGCAGGCCTATAAATGAAATTTTATATTCTAATAACTTTACGAATAGTCGCAAACGTTAAATGTTCCTGTATAACTTAGTCTTGGCGAGTGGTGGAGGATATGTGAACTTTTACTTTATATCTTCAGATTTTTTGACGTAGTACCCCATGTGTACGGTCCATAAACGAGTGAAACCTACCATGGGCGCCGCAGTTTCAGGTTTAGGATCGCAATAGACGTAATTTACCAGCTAAACAAACTAAAACATAATATTATTATATGAGTTTGATAAATGTTGTTATGGGGACACAACTACATAGCTACAGTTAAACAGAATTAGGATATTCACGAATAGATGTATCGGCGTGGATAGACATTGTCTCATTTAAGTGTATTCAATGGCATGCAATTTAATGCATTCAAACCGGTAATCATTGTGAATATATTATAGCATTTGCAGTTATACGGTAAATGACAAATACTATGATTATCCTTAAAAAGGAGCATTATCTTTAAGTTGTGATTTGTAAAACTACAGTGTCTGAATGCTGGGAGAAATCCTGCCGGAATTTGCCGTCAAGATCGGATCGGAGCACTAATAGAAACCGTCTGTATCAGACAATCCCCTAATTTGTTGTTCTAGTTATTATTACTGTGTATAACATAATGGTAATATCGTTAAGTAGTCACTGAAAACGCTTAGGCGACACTTTAGATTAGGTTAGCAGTGTTTGGCTACAACAAGAGGAGGAAAATGGCGCCAATATTTGAAATGTATTTCTAATGGACAAGCCAAACGTTTTCGAGGTGTTGATTAATCTTCTACTAGTCGAACTTCAATATAAAACGCCGTACAAATCGTTATTACTATTAGAAGATTAACCACAAAGAGAGTATGAGTCACTTTTAACTTGAACTTTTTTGAAATGAAGACCAAAGTCGATGCGTCGAATCTCTACAAGGAGATGACTACCCAATGGTGACGAACAGGTTTATTTTCGACGAAATTGGTGTGACCTTAACTTCATCACGGATACGGTCTTTGTTACAAAAGGCAAATTCATGATACATTCGAACAGCGATCCAAAATTCGTGTAGGCTTCAATGACGGTCATCATGTACTTTGATTGAACAGAAGCTAGGCAAACTCAAACGCCAAAACCGACTGTTTCCGTATAGGCAAAGAGTTGCCGATTCGTACGTCCAATCATTTGAGTGAAAGCACTAATGAATATAGAATAGTATGATCGTTGTGAAGAGGAAGTTCGTTGGCGCATTGTAATTAAGCTATATACATTATCCTAATTAATTCAACTTTATTCATAGAACTTATACTGCGCATATGATAGGCAAACCATCATATGGATATAAAAGGAAACAATTGAGAGTATTGCCGGGTAAGAGGCGAGACGATTCTAGTTATTGTTATTATTAAATTATCAAAGCGTATATTGTATTGCACAAGGGGTATTACGATACGGTTATGAATGTGTGTGCGGCTTGACAAGAGCTGTACAGACATGGTCTTAAGTAACTTTTGGTTATGTTCTATGCCAGATTCAATTGTCTCTTATACTATCACTAGCTGAAGTAAGTCGTATGAGATCCTTAGGGATGAGGATGCTTTCATTTTTATATTTCACTGGACAAAAAACGTCGATAGAAAAATAGGACAAGGGTCACACCTCTCAGCTGTACAGCCGGGAACAGCTTGTGCTTTGCCGTTGAACGGTGCTGAAATGTTGGCCTGTTGCAAGCTATCGATTTGACCATCTTGCCTTATGCTTCATGATTGGCCACGCATTCGTATCTATGACTAATCGTATACGCGGGCTTATGTAACTGAATGACTGTATTGAGCGTATTTTTTTATGATTTAAAAATTACCAAGTTTTACGATAGTTAGATATCCGCGTATCTTAAAGTTAGCCAGATCGAAACGTTTCAAATATTATATATCCACTATTAGTAAGCCATACGAGGTAATCACCATTGAACGCTCTATTTACAGTAGTTACATATGCAACTTTTCCCTAATCGTACTTACGAAGAAACTTATTGATCATAAAGTGTTAGCTACGATAAGCAGAACTCTGATAATAGAGTTACTGAATATATCGTGAATTAATAAATTCAAATCACCGGCCATTGTCGTCGGGGCACAAATATCAGCTACCCGCCAGTGCATTTAGTTACTACTTAAATATCTATAATATATCTAAATATAAAAAGAAGACATTGTCACTATGAAGATCAGCGGTCCGACTAGCGTCGCTGGATTTATACAGTCATGTCCTAACCTAAACCTATGACTCACTCATTTCACAATCTGAATCGCCATTTTGTATTGAATAATAACTGTGCCAATTTAACTAACATTTCGCAGGATGCGGAAACGCAGCGAACACTAGAGATGCGGCATCGCATGGAAGAGGACGACCTTTACCGGCAATTCGCAAAGAAACGTGTAGAAGAAGAAAACGTTATCCAGCATCAGATTAGGGTAACTAGTTCTGTTTTAGTAGAATATTTCATTTTCTACATTTTTATGAAACATAACGCAATTTAAAGGATTATGTTGGCTAGATAGCATCATTCGTTACATAAATCGGCTCTATCAAATATATAGCTCCGGTCAATATTTACCGCGGCAGGGCCTTACAGAGTGACTACACACGTACCTTTCCTACCCTGTACCTTAGAAACGAAATAAGATTTCTATTTAAAAAAAAAAAACAAATTAGGCGTCGGTACATTCGTTCATGCTTTAGCTGTCACCGTTGTTGAGATCTTCAATTGAGCTCTGATTTTTCCCGTGAAACAAGGCTATTTCTTCAGCCTAAACAAAACATGTCCGTCTACTTTTTATTTCATGTATTGCCTTTTTTTCGGGCGGGTTTACGTTATTTGTCTATATTTGATTAATGTTATCTAGGAGAGTATAGGAGGAGATTCATAGCAGTGTGTGTGTCTCTGTGTACACAACTGTGAATATTTTGCCTCGTAAAAAATGTTATTTCAGTAGCTGTTTGTAAGAGGATAATATAAAATATCTACAAAATTAGATCGGTTCGTTTAGTAAGAGGACAACTAGTATCAAGACCTTGAAAACGTTAATAGCTAGAACAAATCTGACTTGATTCGTCTTGGGCGGGCGGCCGATGTTCTTGCACTGCTCTCCCTAACCGTTAGAGTGTTGAGTGAAACTAAAGAGAAAACTTATCCGCTAAGGATTTATTATATATGTTTAATAAAATTGTAAATACTTAATTTACTATATTCCTTGTATCTTAGAGCTCGTTCAACGCAGCTTTTTGGCAGCCTGACTCCTAACGTAGAGCGATTCTTAAACATCTCGCAGCCTCTTTTGTAGTAGCTACAACTGTGGTCCTTTCGCTAATCTAACATTAAAGTCCGTGGTAAAAGACGACGGGTGCAAATTACTAGTACCACGAGTAAAATGGCCTGTCTGTCTCGAAAAGAAGTTCCTGAAACGCTCGCCTGTTGTAAGGATTAGTCCAGTGTGAGTGTTTATTACCTTGAATAGAACCTATGTTTATTCTCGGCGGTAACATCGGTAGATTGGATTGTGAGGTACGTTTGCTTTATTAACTATTATTATCTGAGAACAGGGAGGTGGACTGTTTATGGATTGTAGGCGCAGTTCTATCTCAGTAACTAGGTTTACTCGAAATCCGTGAATTCAGCAACTCTATACTGACTTGACATTGACGTGTGTGACTTCATTCTTTGGCCTTTATCGTGTGCCGATCTACTCTGTAGGAAGAATGGGAGAAAGAATTGGAAAAGTTGACATCTCGTTACCATCAAGAGATTCGACGAAAACGGAATAATTTCACCGTAACCCCAGACGAGGAACGGGCAATGACAATGCGCCACCAAAAAGATAAGGACGATCTGGAAAAGAACATGACCGTTAAACTCGATAGGTCAGTAAACTACTACGATTGTTTTTTTTCTACCAAATATCTACTAATCGCTTCCAGGGAGTTGGAAGTTTTTGCTATGTTTATTTGAACAGACATAAAGTATTTTTGTCAGGAATACGTTTGAGAAAATGTCTTCAGCTTCACCAGTTTCCCAGAGTGCCTAGGTCGCCACCGACTACATTTATAGGGTAACTAAAATCAACTCATCGATCTCATACTGACTATATTTTAAGCCAATTTAGGTTCTCCTAACCCGTTCTATAGCTGAAACTGTGTATGGCAATTAAAAACGATCTTCCATAAAAAGCAATAGCCTCACAATGTGTAATCGTTGATAATATGAAGTTCCTGGGGTATCTCCGTATTTGCGTCCTTTCACGATGTCCAACTTGAAAGACAGCTCCGTTTTCGAGGTAGAAATGCTTTGATAACTCCAAGTTTGACAGCAACATCATAAAGCGCAAATTATCTTACCCAATTTAAGTTAGCAGTTCACTGTTGTTCAGCTCCAGGAAATAATCTACATGATCCACTTAAAACCACACCTTTTATATGTAACAATTATATAATCACCCCCCTTCCTCGACCTATCTGTATTTTGCTTCAAGACTATACTAACAAAGGTATTGCATAGGTTAGCTTCTCAACTCGTCTCAAATACCCCACTTAATTCTGCATTTTTTACCTTATAATACAGTTTGTTATAATAAAATGTTACACTAGCTTTTCGATTTCTTTTCTTTGTGTGAATCGATCGCATTCGATTGATCCGATTCGGTTTCTGTCCTCTACAAGAACATAAGGATAGAATGCCTAAACAGAAAGAATCGGAAACCCATATGTATGTATACAAAGCCAATCTTTAACACAATGAAAAATCTGCGGAAGTAGCAACACTCACTTTCCCACTTATGTTGTTGCCTATGTAAAATTACTAACAGAATCTAAATCGGCCACATGACACTTATCTCCACCGCGAACGACTTCATAAGCACGAGTCCACCAGCCTGCCTACCGCAAAGGCCTGACCGTCCTTACGAGTTCGTTCGTACGGCTATGCACAGCAAAGGCGAAGCTGTTTACCGATGTTAAGTTATATCAGTGAGCTATGCTAGCCAACCCACTGACAGCTGATCCGTCCGGCTATAGCGGTTCCAATAGAGGCTGCAAGGACAGGAATAGCAGCGACAACAACGGACAACAATGTTGTGATTAAGTTAACGCCTTGCGCTACATAAAGCCAACTTCAACTGGAACAATAGGATGACTGAAAAGAAGAAGTCGTTGTATTATCCCACCTTCCGCCCCCGCCTCCACAGAACGAACTGTCGTTTGCTTACCGTTCGTGCCTACGTGCGGTGTCCGCGAACGATGTAATCTATCGCACGGCATGGCTGTCTCTTCAGCAGCACGTGCTGCTGCAAGCGTTTACCGAGCGTCGGTTGCTGGGCGGCTTGCCATTCGAGCTCATCTAATCGCCATTGTCTTAAACAAAATAACCATGGAACGTAAAAACCGAATCAGCGATGAACGGCCGCAGCTGTTACCGAGGCTGGAGGAACGCAGTCACGGAAGCCAAAGACGCGGTGCCAGCTAAGTCAGCGCAAACAGAAAATTATGGAAGAGACTCACGATAAAATGGGCACTCGAGAGAGATAAGCAGCTTCCATCATTACCAACAACATTACCAACACGCATCCGTCACAGTATTTCTGCTTTTATCAAAGAGTGGATCAGAAGGCGCGTGCAATGCGACTTCGAAGCGGTGGCTAGCGATGAATCAACAAAATGGTACGTGAGAGAGCCAAGCAACAATGACGCCGGCCACAGAGGTATGGGCAAGCGCAAGTAATCATATTGCGTTAGCGTAGAGGTAGAACAATCTCTGTGGTCACTGGACGTCTGCTAACGGTGGTGACGCTAGTTCTCATTGATAGACGATGCATAAGGTCGCTGTTACTTCACAGAACGATATTGTATCCACAAATAAATATATATATATTGCATCATATCTTTTGGTAGGTTGTAGCCTAATAACCCTTAATAGGCACGAACGAAAGGACTGGATTCGCTAATAGCAAGAAGTAGATCCCAAACCGGGGACGTCACTGGCTATGGTGCGCGTGTTTACGCTGACCAGCCAGGTGTTACAGTAGATAAAAAATACAACCCTTTCGATGGCTAACAGTCTTTCCCTAAGGGGTCTAACCTTTGCTTTGGGATATTGTCTAATACGGGTCGAAATGGATTGTTGGATTCTTTTTTTATTCGACTTCAAGTGCTTCACGCGTCCTTATCATGCAGCAGTGCCGGTTTTCGCTTATTGCTACTATGTGATTTATAGTATCTGTGACCGAGACGAAACAAATAATTTGGCATGATTTTTTTGAATAGGCTTTCTCAGATTTGGTAGTTGTACATTTGCTCAATCCCCGATCAGCAACTACATAGCAACTGTATAGCAATCACACCTTTAAAAGCGACTCTTTTTTGTTAACTTACTCTGACGGCGACCCGGGAAGGCAGAAGGCAATTCCACTGCCACGCTTTACGTTAGCTTCGGGTTCGCTTAGAGATTGGCTATAGATAAACTTTAGCAAAATGTTCTTGACTATCTGCTAATAATAGCCTTACTCGTACCAAAATTGTTTCTGTGCTTTCGGATGGCGCGCGTACTTCGAACAACTCTGCATCGTACACCTTTTATCCATTTAAGAATGAAGTCCCGGTTTACAAAAGCCTGCTTTTCACATGTGGAATTTACAGACAGGGCGCTATACGAGATTATGCTTAAAAAAAAAGCTTTTTCAATCGTTTATCAGTCGAATGATTGGCAATATATTTTCATTTATGTAGTGAAACAGCGAGCATTAGTATCTCAACCCACATAGCCTTGCTAGCCTGCCATTTATTTTCAACTGGTACATTTTTAGTCAAGCACTTTCACCTTGAATAGGTAAAAGTGAAGTACTTACTCCGCGTGTAAACAAGTCCTGGGACCTGTAAGCGGGCTATTTTAGTTATATTTGCACTTTTAATATGCGTAAGAATCGTGCATGACGATTTTTTGCCAAAGTGAATAGTTTCTTTTAATCTAGGCTATTTCCGAAATAAAAAAAAATTCAATTTTTTTCTTTGAAAAATATAATAATAATAGAAAAATCTACACTTAAATTTTCATGCGAAACATGCGAAAGTTCAACGTGGTCGATAATGTCCATCATTCGATGTAAAATTGCCCCGTTTAGCCTTACATTGGCCTAGGAAAGAATAGTAGAATCTTGCTGATTTTCACAGTATAAACGAGCACATTTGATTGATTTTTAGCGGCGCTCTGAAAAAAGACATTTTAAAGTTTTCAGGACGGCATTCGCTTTCGCTAAACACGAATCCTTCGTTCCTAACAACAAGCCGTTCTTGTAATTACGTTTAAATTAACTGAAGAAAAAAACGGTAAAACATATTTGACTGGCTGGGGAGCATATATTGAACGCGAAGTACCAGTGGGCTTCATATATATATGTGTGATAGTTGGATTATCTATATCACTTTACTATATTACAATTGATAAAATACCTGATAAAAATACAAACAAAAATCATGGTGACGTTACGATGCAACACACTGGAACATCGTTTGCGCAAGCTTAGCTAAAAAAATAAGCGTGGGACTATATTTTCGACTACAGTAAGACTCCGCCAGTACCTAGTACTTTGCTCTCGTTATGAAATCCTTTCACTACTTACAAATATACAAAATTTCCTTGAAAATAAAATTGTTGTAATGTTGACGAACTCCGCTCAAAGTTGTCAACTTTTTAACGCATATAGTGACTAACGGTAAAAGAAAATCAACTTTGATTCTGCAGCCTAAAAATACGTACACGTACAAAAAAGGTGCTACAGTCAAGTAATAAGCCTACTGCGAACGGCATTAGGTGACGCAGGCCTAGGTCTGGCCCGAATGCCGGCTGATAACAGATGATAGTTTAGTTTAACTAGTGAACATAAGCATGTTTTACCGTTGTCGTATCTAGTGACTTTCGACAGGATTTTAACCTGTTGCTATAATCTGTTATAGATATTCCAAGCTATAAGCACAAAATGAACTATTGCTAACACCACGTAGTCTGTCGTACTGTTATTAAAGACATAACAATTGTATATTATTCTGCTAGCAGTTTTTCTGTTTTTGATCGCAGATCAGCGCGTGCTAGTGAGTCTAGAAGACCAGTTTACCTAGCGCCGACTATCGTAACACTTTCTGACCCCGAGACCCAACGCCGTGGCGACTTGCTGGTCATATCTATACGAGTGCGATTAATCCGTTGCGGTGAAAGAACAATCAGTCCTGTTATTAGACTGAACGTAAGTGTCGTCCAGTAAATTGTGTCGAGTCGTGCGCGTCTGTCGTGCAGCAAGGGTCACCATCCCTCGCGGAGCGTGGAGGATGTACAAACTACAGGAAAACCGGGAGAAGGGGATCGATGAAAAATGCGACGTACGTTGATAAGGGGGGTTACAAATATTCTGCTTATATTGATTTTTCTTTTTCTATTCTAGGCATCAATATGAAGACTGCGGTTGTGAACCTTTAATTTATATGGCTGTTGTGGCTATTTATATTACGGAGCTCATGTTATGAATAATGGTGCTAGACACTACGATTATGGACACATAAATTGCAGAGGTCCTAATCTCTTGAAGACTGCGAACTAGTGCCCTGAGATTTGTTCAGCCGTTGCTTAAAGTGAAAGCCAATTGTCGCTAGATTCGCGGACGCATCTGGTCGCCCCGATGGGCTGCTGTTCCCCTGTCGCTAAGGCTCCCCTCCCAACGGTTTCACAGCCGTTTGCTCTTAGCGGCAACCTGTGCAAGAATGAAATAGTGTGCAAGAGACACACCCACATTACGGTGACGGTATTGGTCGCTGAACACATCCATCGTAAATCGTTTCTTCCCTATGTACCTTTTGCTTGTTGGCGATCATCAGACCACTTCGTCAACGGTACAACGACAATTGTCGCCTATGGCTGTTGGTGCCACCGCAGTAACAGGCTGACAAGACGAATTCACTCGTGGCTTTCTTCTACCCACTCTCTATCCTGATACAGGAACAGATCCAGGCATCATTTCGTCAGACACAGTTCGGATGCGAGCAAACAACGCATGCCGCTTGGCAAATTTCGAATCTAACTAGATCCGCCTTAAAGGATGTTGCCCGGCACCATCGCATCGGATTAACGGTCATCAATACAGTACAATCAATGCAAGCCTGCGTTGTTGAACTTTCCTTGCCTTAATCTAACAATGTAGCGTCTAACAATGTTAGCAAAGAACCACATCTGCTCTGTACAGGTTACTATCGACGTTACTAACCTTCACTTGAGTTACTGATGCTAGTTAGCTTATCTAGTCGCTCGAATCGAATCGTCTTCGGCAAGCCGATCTATTGATTGTACTGCTGTTCCTTAGGATGATAACAGTATTGCTCTGACGATGGCTCAACAGAACGAAGGAGAAGAAAACGACTTAGAAGCCGAAGGAACAAGCAAGACACTTTGTCGTTACTGCTGTTGTTTCTGTGCAGTATGGAATCGTGGAGGATTTGTGTCCCCCCTCGTAAATCTTGACGGGTTACTGTTTCGTGGAGCAGTGGGCTGCATGTACGACAAGCGTCTCGCTTCCCGCGACGGCGTTAGCAGCGGCTGAAGGAGGCAGGGCCGAAAAGGACAATGCGTCACTATTTGTTGGTGGCCGCAATGATGACAGTAGTTTGATGGATATCAATATACGAAAACAATCATGTATTTCTCTATCTTTTGTTTGCTAAAACCGTCGTCAATTCAGCCGCTGTCGGAATTAGCAGTTAGTGCAGCTTGGCTATTACTGCGGCGTCGCTACTGTTAATTGAGACATCTTCTCGTAAACCTTGTGCAAATATAGATAGTGTACATGTATTTAATGGTATCTTTTCTATGTAGCGTTTGTACATCTCCATCGATTCGGATCGTTCGTAACCATGGTTCATATGTCTCAACTCGTGTGTACGACCATCTTGCAACAATCATCCATCCATATGCATAATCCAGTACAATATTCATGTATACGTGAGTATGTCGGATTCTTATCCATAGCGCATGGCGAGATAATAGGAACTACTGACCGTCAGATCAGCCATAGAAGTACCTGCTGTCGGCATTGCAGCCGGCCGAACACTTGGCCTTCCAAGACAAAGATTCAAGCATACATCCTCAGATGCCACAAGTTTCGGGGCCGGCGTGGTTTTCTGTGTACTGTTAGCACGATATTTACTCGCTGGCAAAAACAGCCAAAGGAATAGACAAAAGGCAAGTGGGAATCGAGAAGAACTAGGACGAAGGAGATGCCATCGAAAGATAGCGGCCTCAGTGCCTGCGCCGCTTGACGATTCGTAACTGTCGATCGCTCCGAACGATTCCGGCGATCCAGCGTCAGCGTGCACGTCGCTACCAAAGCCACCGTGAGCACGCCATCTGGTTCTTCCCGGTGGGTTTTCTACTCCCTTCCGTTGCATCATAGCCATACACATCGAAACTGAGCAAGGAAAGCAAACAGCACATGACAATTAGGCAAATAAGAAACAGGAAATGTTACCGCCGCCATGATCACACGCTCCGTATTGCATTCATTGGCGCTTCCGACGGCAGACTCAGCGACCGCTGCTGCGCAATGTGGCTCTGATAATTTAACCATTGATTGAGCGAGCCCCGACCTCAAACGAGACACAAGCTTGTTGTAGCCTCTGACATCTCTGCTACCAACGATGGCTGTTTATTGCTCTCGAGCTGATGTTGCTACTGCTACTGATAATAGCGATGATTTACGATGCGACTGATCGGGATCAGCGTCTTGTCGTCGGTCGTTAAAAGCTGCCGCCGCTGTATCGGTTACGTGTCTTTGCGTTCATTGTAGTCGCTAGAGCCGAGGCTGCTACTGGAACAAGTGCTGAACTACATCTATATACAAAAAATATATAATCAATGCAGTTGTGGTCGGACTTCCCTCTTCCGGTGATGCTGCCGTTACCGCTAATGTTGAAGTGGAATCTTAGATCCGATTGCCAACTGCTGTGACTTCTATTTTTCGGTGTTCGTTCAGAGCCCGCTACGACAATCACCGCCGCGTGGGTCGAGAGCTGGCGGCCATAGATTTAGCCGACTGAAAACGATGCTGCAATGGCTGGTGGTGGCTCACTCTTACGATAGCTGGGTTAAAGCGATAGATACTGTTTAGTGGTACAAGTATGGTCGTGGCGAGGCGATGAAGATCGTCAATGCAAGATTGCCGACAGCAACGTCACTGCCCTGGCAGACGGGTTGGCTGGGAGTTTGATTTGCTGCGCCCGCCACCGTCGTCGACAGCTGTAGCAATTGGGTTCATTTAGACAGCTCGAGCATCCCTCGCAACGTATTCTCGCCCTCGAAAATGGGTAGCAGTGAGTAACTGGTGGCGCGAGTGCTCCGGGAAATACCAACTTTGCAATCGCACTCTTGCGACGAAGCTTGCCTGCGCCGCCGGAGGACCGCTCATCATCCGAATGTGTGTTTGGTCCGTCGACTGTTGGCTGATCTCTTCGTGATCGGATGGTATTTAATTGATCGGGCTCGGCCGTTATTTCAGGTAGTTTTTGAGTACGTCTAAGTAACGGCACAAACTACGAAGGAGGAGTGGTTCGCTCGTGACCTGCTGTACTGCTCATGTCAATAACTGTGGTATCCGATAACGTATGGTGATCTAATTGTCGGTGTCACACACGTATCGATTACGGGCAGCGGGAGCGCATCAGTTAAGGAAAGGGGACGCGTCTATTTATAAAAGAAGAACTTGAAATGGCCGAGTCCGTTTACAACATCGACGCGCTGCCCCCTGCTTTCGCGTTTCTTTGAGTTAAATGATCCGTTCAGCCTGACAGAACTACAGGTAGCTGCTCCTATAGCCGTCGCGTACCAGAAAGCTGGAGAGATTTGAATGAATTCACACTATCTGATACTGACTTTCGTTCCCGCCGGTTTGCGTACGGTAACCAGTATCAGCTGCAGTGGGTATCCTTGTTCAAATTTGGCGTAAGCAGCTGTTGAAGGACAAACAGAGTTTAAGAGCTTTATAGGACGCGACAAACGCTCCCGTCGTCTCTAACTGCATACGAAGCCAACGTTCAGACTCGTGAGACGACCGCGTACGAAGAATACCGATTTGTCCTGGCTCAATTACAAACGGCGCATACGCAAGATTGAAACATTGGTCCTGTCAAGAGGCCGAAAATCGTATCGGTTCATACTGCGGTGCTCCTGACATGTGATTCTAGCATAATTATGCATTCTAGCGTTGACTTTCTATCGTAAGATAAATTGGAATTGCGTGAATCGCTTTGTCATTAGACGAAGTACAGCTCCTGCAGTGGTCCAAATGATTTGAAGACTTCATGGTAATATCAAGGAGTAAACCGCATAGTGAATTACATTGTGATAGGCACAAAAAGAATTAAACCAGAGGAACATTGATTAAAAAAGCCGTAACTAAATATTACTATACCCTATATGTTATAGACGCTTTTGACTGGGGTGTGTGCAAGTCTCATATGAGGTGAAAACCCAGAAGACATGTTGCAGATGTTTATGCCATCTAGTCATGAGCCCATCACCGCCCTTGACATGGTTCGACGTAGATATCCATCGTTTATAACAACCGCCTGTGATGACTTCGAATATCTCAGTGTAGTGACTTTATTGGAGAATAAAATGATTTTGTAGGTGTCTTACGATATTTACGATTCTTGCTAACTAAATTCACTAAATATGCTTTGAGATAGTGTCATTATACTTCGTTCTTGTGTAGGCAATGCCGTTGTCTTAGCCCTCCTTGATGGTATAGTGGTAACGCTTATTGAACTTAAAGATAGATGAGTTGGTCTACATCAGGACTCTAGCGCTTCGCGCTGCAGGCTAACTGTTTGAAGCAATGCTTGATAACGATACTAGACGCCAAACTAAAATATACTAATGATAGTGCTCAACAGATATATATACAAGAAATAGTTTTCAGATGATTAAGCTTTTCGGTCTAAGAAAATTTGGTTGCGTCTGCATAAAGGAAACTTACCACAGGAACTTCCGCGACGAGCCAGTACAAAGCATTTTGATATCACAGTCTTACATACATTCACGAATGTATGTAAGGGTATGTAAATGATAGAAAAAAAAATAGGATTCAATTCTAAGCTATGATATCGTTTGTTTTTTTTGGCGGTAGGAGGAAGGAGGCCCTTACTCAGCGCCTGATCGAGGCGGAACGTGCGGCCACGGCTGACCTCGTCGAGAAGCATGCTGAAGAAATGCTTAATCTGATCAATGAAAAGCGTGAAGAGATTGTGAAGGTAGGATGTTCATATGAAATTACTATAGTTGGCATGTCTTCATGCTAATCATACATGCTGGATAGAAATGAAAAGTTACTGAGTTAAGCTTGACTTTTGGAGGGAGTCACCGCGTTGAAACTATCTAAAAAAGGGCACGCATATCTCTTAACCATGCTACCAGCATACCCATTTTGAATACGACTGGCCGCATGATTTCTAAGAAAGTCGAATGCCAACTCTATTATCAGACAAGAGCAGCAGCGATAAACCCCAGCTCGACCCGCGCTTTTCGAATTTTCCCGTATCTCGATATTTGCCTGTAGATGCCGCTGAAAAACGCTGTTCAATGATTACAACTCTTGTAGGACCTTGCTGTTATTCTAAAAACGTATACACAAAATTGTACACTACTTAATTGAGATTTAAAGGACAGCGTCAGAAACCATTTGTTTGGGTAGCTTGCGGATCAACCGTTCTTGCTCTCGTGTGGAAAGGAAGCGTTGGCCAATAATTGATCGCAAAGAAACATACTTCCATTATTTTATCCAGACTAAAGTGAACGTTCGAAAACGTCCGAACGACTGTTTGCCAAAGTGGACTCTGTGACCTTTACTTTCTTTAATACGATTTTTCGCACTACGGTGCCTACTTCTATAGCTTGCAGTCTAGCCTTCGCACTTCAGCTAAATAATGGACGACCTGAAGGTGACAGGTTTCAGAACCTCTGCGAAGTGTTAGCTTAACAACTCCACTCCGAAGAATTTCTGCTCTTTTTTTTTTTTTTTTTTTCTTTTTTTTTTTGCATAGTTTTCTGTCTCTACTTCGCGATGACATTTTTTTCTATTTCGTTAGCGTCACAGTTGTATCCAGGCGATGCTATCAGGCAGTCCATTTACGTAAAAATATTCTAATTGTCCTATGCCAGCGTCTTTAACTACGCTAACTATATATCTTTAACCCAACCTGTTTGACTATATGATCCCAACTACCATCCACTTTAATTGTGGAATACTTCTCCATTTGTATATTATTTTTGAATGAAATCAAAATTAAATGCCTAAAAGATTACGACAAGCGAGATGGAACCGAAAAATCGTCAGAATACTTATTTCGTTAGGTTACATAATCAAGGATGACCTAGACATGTACAAGCACAATCCGAAAATACCCCTATCCCAGCAGTGTTCACGCTCGAGTGGATCGTACTTAGGCGCGCAAATGGTCCTTTCGATTGACCTTCGCCATTCTGAATGAGAAATTCCGCCTGTTTTTCAAGCTATTTTTGTTTATCGTCCAGTCTATCTAGAAGTGGCCACAGTACCTAACGTATATCTGCTTCTCTTTTTTGAATATCATTTAATGTCGATAGTGGTAGCGATGATGGCGACCCTAACGCTTTTGGCCTGTTTTGGTCTAGTTGTTCCCAGTTGCCGACGATCCCAGTCAGAAAACCGGTAAGTGGCTAAGTTTCGAGCAGAGAAAGTCCCCGCCTCAATTCAAGCCTAAGCTGTCCTTTACTTCTTCGTAGTCTTCAGTTTGTAGATCGTCGTTGGCTGTTCCAGAGACAAACAGGCACGCATAGGTTATATAGGTCTATATATTTTATAAATTTCCCGTTTGTTGTTGGTATTAGTGTCGTTGAATAAACACGACTATTTAAACGCCTCTTGGCTGTTAATACGCAGCGTCAGGCGCTCATAATGTTATCTGTCTTATTTACGGTCTGTGAGCTGACTAAGGGCCAATCGCAACTAGCTTCTACTCAAAGGAGAGGCCGCAAAAGCTGCGGCGTTCCATAGTTAGATCAGATATCCTTTTTCTGCTGTGGCGAAACCCGGCCCAAACACTACATCGTAAAAATAACGCCGTCGTTAACTAAAGTTGTCATTAGAACTAGTCAATATCTGGCGTAGCGGATAAACAATCAGAGAGTGCCCCAGAGTGAGGTCGATAGTCTGGGAGTGGCGGAGCAAAGCATGTTCGCGCCATAAACGGTATGTAAAAAATAATAATGCACGCTTGTTGAAATTCGCTGAAAATGAATGAAGCTGAAATGCAGCTTCGTGAAATCATTAGCAACTTGGTATTAGATAATTATCATGTTTTTCCATATGTTTTCCATAGAGACCACATCGTATTCCATACGACGTAGTATATCATATCGATTTCAAGGGGCCTTCGTCAGCTTCTTGTTCTAATGGGGAAACTCCGATTCGTAACTATCTTTTATTTTCTATCTGTAAGAGAAAATATTCACTGCATAATTGTTATATCGTAACAAACGCGATCCGAAAAAGCAGGTAGCTAAACCGAAAAACCTGGCGCTTCACCAAATCCTTAGACATGTATACGGTTTGGGGAAAATTTTCAGTGAACATAGAACCCAAGGCAGGGCACATGTTTTAGTAGGGTTAGACATCTGACAACTGAACTTCTAGTGGAAGTTCAGACTCTCGTGTTCTTCTCAATATTCCGTCAACGAGTTTGCCTGTTTTTGACTAGCTTTAACACCGTGACATCATTCATTTCAACAGGTTCTGTTCGAGGCAAAGCATCGCCGTCAAAAGGGACGTCCTACCCTTTCATGATGCTGTTCGTATGTAGAATAATTTTATTTACCGGCAATTGTCAGAAGACACTTCAATAATACCCCCGTCCCGGTTCCCAGATACCTATTACTTGCATAGACACGACGCGAATCTGGTCGTTCTAAGCAATGTATTTCCATCACCATAGATATGTATATGAAGCTGAATTTTCTCGCGGGTTGTCACTGAGTGTCCAGTAGGTAAAGCAATGCGTCAGCTAGAAAATATCGCAGTCTAGCTGAACCGTTACGGGGCTGAATGAACAACTAACAAAGGCACAGTGTTCTTTCGATGAACGATGCTGCGAGTGTCGTTATTTGCAATAGAGAAAAAAGATCGAGCGGAAAAGAAAAGAAAGCAGAGGGAATGTCAGCTAGCCGAAAAAATGACTCATTACCACTGTGTAGCTAGTGGAAAGACCATTGACAGTCATAGACAATTTGTTAGTTTATGCTATTATAAACATAAGACAGTATCATAAACTCGAGGCCATCTCGACAGATTGTACACACACGCATATACAATGAATAGCATACATTTTTTTCTACATATATATCATCCAACTTCGGCTAATAAGCTAAATGGGCGGATAAATACACTGCAGTCAGTAATGTTTCAGCTGCTCTTTAATGCTTGATATGTCCATTTAAGCGCGATGGCGAGGCACACAATTCGACATATCCCCTACATCCACCGTCGCCGAGTCACGCGTCCATCTCGAAGCTAGATATTTACGTGGATCCATCGGTGTTCCGAGAACTTGACCAGCAAGCGATCAACGTCGCCCAGGCTGATCAGAGAACGTTTACTGATCTGGTCCGACAGCTGACGTACAACTGCGAAACAGATGTGGAGAAGGCCAGGTTTGTTTTTAATACTCTGAAATTTAGGGTAGCTAACATAATTTTCTAGCGGCATTAAGGCTTTCTGGATAAAGTTAGCTGGCGGCACGGGAAGCATTATATTTGCCACCTGAATAATGAATAAACTAATATATATAAACGAAGTGTTTGACATCTGTATGTGGATGCCAGAAGCCCTTGTGAAAAAAGCGCCCAGAGAGCTGCATATAATTATTATTATAACACTATATACGTATCAAATTAACAATCAACTATGTATATAGTACAGTGAAACGGTCCACGCGTCGCCGACGGAAGCGAGCCCAGTCAGAAGCCAAACAGAAATAAATGAGAATAGCCGGCCCGATTATTGGGACAGTGCAAAGTGGCACGCGGCAAGCAATTTCCATAATGGAGCAATTGCTCGATCTCCGCGCAACTGATCGATCTTGAACGTTCAACGGCCGAGGTCGCCATTGGTGTCGCCGTTACAACCCCACCTGCCACAGTAAACAAACCCCCCATTAGTAAGCAAGCCAGCGTTAATCTTGTTACAGAAGCCCAAGAAAAGGGTCAGGATATTGAGGCCTTTAGCCGTCCACTGAAAGGACGAGGAACCAAAACCAAAATGGGGGGCAGGACTGAAAAGTCTGAGAATACAACAGGCTTGACAGGCCGCCGTAGTTCGTGTCGAATCTTGGAGACTTTACATATAGTAGCTTTAGTAGTTGTTACAGGTATGCACGTGGGAAATTGTAAAAGTACACGTACCGTGCTACATTAGCATAATGCAAAACTATAGAACATGTGTAAAGTTGCACAGTTATTTGGTAAATGTAGTCCCTAGTCAACAGCTGCTTCGTTGACAGGCTCAATTAATTTATCTCCGATTTATTCTTTAGGACAACGTATATTCTGTCGGCCTTAATGGGCCGTTCATAAGATGAGCCTTACAAAAGTGAAAATGCTTGAACAACTTAGACGAGTATTGCTTTTGCGTATAAAAAAGGTATAAAAATGAGACATTTTTTTGGCAGTTCACAGTAGATAACTACGGTATAGTAGTCTTGGTCATTTGAGTAGTCGGGCTGGACGAAAAGCTGTCAAAAGTCGTTTAAATGTTAACTGTTAAAAATCGATTCGAGTGTCATTGCTCTGGTTGTGTTTGTTGTAATGGAAGGGTCGATGCTCCCCATCTGTTTTTTTTCCCCGCTGCTAACGCACTTCTCAACCGCAAAACAATTTTTGCTATCGTCGTTGTTGTATCAATTGCGATGCCGGTTGTGCTACTATTTCATCCATTCCATTACTAGATTATTTCTTTTATATGCTTTTCAATAGATCAAGCTTTCATGGAGTCGTCGATAGATATAGAAAAAAAATGTTACAACCCCAGCGAACCCAAAAAGCCTGGGCTCACGGTTATCATTATGGTCATTAACATCGACACTACCGGCATAAATTTTATCTTCGTTCATTCTAAATGTTCATAGAACTCCGCTTTTATCAGCGTCGTCAGCTGGGAATCTAGCCACTGCCGGATGATTGAACGAAACTGTCGAGATGGTTGATGTAGCACGCTACTTGAGCTTTAAAGAGGGCCCTTCACGAGGACGCAGTGGACTACATTAGGCAAAAGCGAAGCCACTGTCGCGGCCTCAGATTTGACTTCTAAGGAGCCATTGGCCATTCGCGCCGACTATGCCGTAGCGTCACCGAATACTTGAGCTTTTGTTCTGCACTCACGCAGTAGAGCGCGTCGAAGTCGCGAACCCCAAGATGTACCAAAAATATCCTGCGCTTACGGAAACCTCGATCGTAATTGCCATTAAGACGCTTAAAAGGTAAATGTGAATGATAAACAAAATCAATTTCTCGCCATTCTGTAGCTATTAGTAGCCCATCAACTGATGAATGGCCACTGGCAGTAAGGCTTGAACGGGGTGCACGTAAACGACGACAACGGATGATGAGTGAAAGCAGGCTCCTCAGGCCACGTGCAAAATTATGCTAGTGGTCGCGCAATTTCCTACAGTTAGCTCATTTGGGGCGTCCACGAGGCGAACAAGAGATCAACGCTGAGTAATCGTCGCATGAGTAGAGAGATCTGACAGTTGTGCCAGTGTGGCTTTGGTATATATAAATCCTATAATTGTACATTAGCACAAATGCGTAAAATTGTCTGCACTTTCGTATTTGCCTTAGTGACTAAACTAGAACACTTACTTGTATACTATAGCATTGAGTTGTAAACTGTAGACTGCCAAAAAGTAAACGAAGACGTCTTATTATATATACAAAACAATTACACCATGCAATTATTATTTCGGCGCTAAATTTGACATAAAGTCATCCTTAATTAAATTGTAGCTGATCTCGAATCAAACCACGTAGCGGCGTAATATAGCCGAAAATGTAGGTATCAAGTTTTACGTACGTTCCTACTGTCTACCTAGAGATTGCTGTAGAAGGCTGGCCTACGTATTATAATGAAAGGATTGCCAGCACAGCTGCCTTTAAGGACGCGATCTGTTTCTTGTTTTTTGATTGTCTCTAACAATACACAGAGCCATATTCCGATGGATTACGGTGAAGAATTTGAATCAGATGACATTTGATGATTCGGTTAATGCGGATACCCCGATGGGTATCCTTCGAGGCATAAAACACGGAACAGAAAGTTACCATGTTCTTTTCAAGAGGCTCTGTAGCTACGCCGGCCTGCACTGTGTCGTGATTAAGGGGTACTCGAAGAGTGCGGGCTATCTCCCAGGAATCAGGTGAGTGGGACTAACGCTTTAAAGATCATATAATTATCACTACTGTTTATTGCTATTATCCGTTCACTACCAACGTTTCTTGCCTTTGCAATATACAAGTTCAATATGGAAACTAGACGTAGAACATCTGGATGCTGGATAGATCAGTTTACATCAGAACAAGCGGATTCAAATATTCTCCATATATGTTACATTGGAAGAGTCTCTATCTATAAACCAACTATTTTCAGGCTGACGGATGATGTTGGTCGCCGTGAGGAGTGTTTTTCTAATTAACGTTCTATAATAACACGTACTGTTTTATACGTGTGCGAACTTTTTGTTCATAGGTTCGATGACAGTCGCTTCCGTAACTCGTGGAATGCCGTTTATGTGGCTGGAGCATGGCGTTTCGTGCAGTGTAATTGGGGTGCTCGACATCTTGTTAACGCCAAAGAGGCAAGCGTTAGGTCAATGATGAAAAAGAAACCTATCGATCAAACTTTTGGGCCTGATCATGCGCTCATCCCTATCAGTAGTCAACTGGAGTCAATAGGAAACGTTGACGCTAAGTAAACTTATTGCATTTATTATACAGAGAAGAGTTGTTCACAAGCTAAAACGCACCAGCACTAAGATGCTTACCAATTCGATCCGAATTCATGATAAGAGGTCTATTTTTCGCAGCTGCTTCTTAAGACATTTGATCAGACCAGAATGGGCAAGTCTTCTTATCGAATACACAAACGGTACCAGAATGATTTCAACAGGTTCAGAAAATTGTTTTGGCCAATATTTTCCAGCTTTAACCGCTGTTGTTATTAACGGCACGAATGTGTAAACAAGCTTCTATGGAACATTTTGCTTTTTTTTCTATCGTCGACCATACGACGCGCCACCTTTCCATCCAATAATAGGTGCCGAGAAATGGTTCCCGAAGTGAATCGGACAAGCTTCGTTACGAGTACGACGACCATTATTTCTTGACTGATGCTCGCGAATTTGTGTATGAATTCTTCCCACAAAGTTCCGAATGGCAGCTGTTGAAACGACCCATCACATTGCGCGACTTCGAAGAGCTACCATTTGTTCGATCACTTTTTTTCAGGTAAAAGCAGAAACCCTTAAGATCTAGAAAAAAAGAAAACTGTTCTTCAACTAGGTAAATAGAATCTGAACAATCTAATGAATAGCTATTCAGGCGCGCTGACTAATGGAAACAAGACAAAAATAGTGATAGGATATCTTCACACTTCAACGAAGTATGCGCTACCATAGTTATAATTTCGATAGCATTTGAAGGCTGAGTTGAATTCACGCTAACACGATCATTTCAAACAGCCTATCCTAATGTATTGGGACTGATACACAGCGAATGCTATTACCTGATCACGCGTTTAAGACAACGACGAGTAACGATGAAAAATAGGGGTATAAAAAAGAAAATCGTAGTTGTCTATTGACGTATATTGAGCGTATTCAAACCCCGTTGTTCATTAGATTCGTTGAATCGTCAGTTGTCGCGGTCGTCATGTCGCTGATAATAGTACAGTTCTGCTGTTACTGCTACTGGTGATTTGCAGATACGGACTGTACTTTCCGGATCCAGAGACCAAGGCAACCCTCTACACCGATCACACCGGGGGAGCTACAATACGCGTGGCCATGCCCCACGAACCCCGACACTCGTTAATCTTCCACTACGCTCTGAAGTATCTGGATAGTTACAGCGATCAGACGATGGACGCCTTCGACGGGGTGTCACTCAAACGATTCGTGATGCAATCTGTCGTTGATAATGTCGTCGCTTTTAGGTGCGTTTTCATTATCATGGGTCATAATAATGATCCCGTTTTGTATTTGTCGATAGTTCGCCGCTACTCGGACAATTCCCTATCTGCAGACGATATATATATATATATAGAGATATCCAAAGACGAAGGTAATGCTGATTTTTGTGTGTGTCATTGAAATGTCGGTCTTAGCCACGCTAAATTAGATTGAGTAAGGCTGGTCCCAGCTGCTAAGTGCTATATGACGTTGAACACGACGGCGCTTAAAAATCTTGCATTTTTTTTTTGTAATATAGACTTGATTATCCTAATCTCCTCACGCTGTACGTCAATATTTTCGTTATAGTAAATATAAGCGATTATTATCGTCTACAGAACGTTATATACCATGTATTGGAAAATATACATAGATACTGATTCCTAGGTCAATTCTACCCACGTGGGCTACAAGTGAGCCACAGCCTATAACTCTGAGTTGGTTGACTGGAAAACAGAGAGCTGTAACACACAGAAAAATTAGTCGCTTCTATTAATTTTTATCACGGGTTCGTTCATTCAGGGTACACGCGCCTTGCAGTGGAACTTTTCTTCTGGACATTTTCGCAAACTCGGTGTCTCCCGAAGAGTACCTCACTGGGGAACCAATGAAGTTCAAGAGTGTCACGAAGTTCCGTATTGTCTGCGAAGACCTCCAAACAGTCATGGTGCCCTTACCGGAGTGTGCCGGCGGGGAATGGGGTCCAGAAAAGGCCTTGCGGCTTTTCGGCCTCGATGCTATCAGCCATGAGGACGCTCTCATCTTTTCAGGTACAGTGGTCACAGCAATTCAAACAGTGTAATGCTTTCGTCCAGCATAGCACTACTGAGATCGGAAGGTAGGATCCTTCTAAAGACGTTCTACGAGGAAAAACCCCGACACGCAGATATATATATATATATATATACGACTTAATTTGAGCCTCAACAAGAATATCTGACAATGCTTGATGCATTATTGATTTCTTCTGTGTCCAGGCCGAGAGCTGCAGATACAGTTCCGTATGACTCGACCTTTATCCGATTTTCTCGCTGCACTGCACATGAACGGTTGTGACGAAAAGAAGCTCTCCAAGTTCGTATCGCACTCAGCTAGTGGCGATCTAGTAACATTCTTCTTGAGCTTCCCTGAAGACGGCCAGTACGGCCTGGACATCTACACTAGGGATCCGAACGAGCCGCATTCGAACGGCCATTTTGATTCTCGGAATAAGGACAAGCAGTTATTAACTCACTGTTGCAAATATCTTATCAATGTTAGTAGATGCTAAGTGGCAAAAACCGATAGCATGTAACCGCTCTGTCTCTGAACCGTGCTCTGTACGACATTTTTTCATCTAATATCGAACAGCTACGAAATGTTCCAGGGCTAGCGAGTTTTCGGGACAAAGTCGACGAAGATGTCACGCACCGAAGTCTACCCATCATCTCGTTTCGTGTGAAGGTCGAGAAGATTACAAGCGTCTAGCATGGCTGTTGACACTGGTTTTAGTCGATTCATGCGTTTTACCCTTGCTTGCTTATCTGCATAGCCCACTTGAAGAACGGAAATAGTCCAATATCTATAGTTTTTTTTCAGTTCTTGAATTTATAGAAATCGTAAATATCGAATAAACGTATTATGCAACTTTGTTAACAATGAACTCCTCAGACTCCGTTAGTATCTATAATGCATAACTGATCTAAATAGTGAAATATACCTAGTTTCGGACCTGTGTAGGTTAGGCTTTGTATATACCGCACAAGTAGACCGCCATCACAGCAGATAACAACCTTTCCTTAACAAGGGTCCTAATAGATAAGGTTAAATCAAGTCAAGATATTTTGCCCCATAACACGGTCAACTATATAACGTATATATAGATATTAACACACTATATTCAAGCCTCGTAATAACGCTTTGTTGGTATGTTCAATTACTAGATGATACATAACTTAGCCAAGAGTCAAAAATTGCTTTTCGCACAAACATAGCCGTTAAGAAACGCCCGTGTCCGACCATATTAGCTCACGAACTGATCGTTTACACACACTAGCAGCGCTGTTACTATTGACATCAATGTTGATTTTTTTTTTTGTCGAATTCTATAAATTCCTAATTTATTGATGATAGAAACAACATCGCCGGGCTAAAGCTATGTTATTTGTAATATATACTCAGAGTCGCTCGAAGTGTAGCCTCTTGGCTATACGTGCTTACGAGCAAAGACCTCTGTATAAAGTGACGATATGGATTTAGCGGAATTGAAACCAGTGAGCTAACAACGTTTCGACGGTGCGCAACGTCAGAACGGACGAAATTCAAGGGGCCTATAAATTTACAGAACAGTACGGGGTCACTTTCATGTAAAAGCTATCTTCTGTATCTATTTGTCTGCAATATATATACATATATGTAATAATAAGAGACATGAGGAGTATAACTGTCAACTGTTTATACTAATAAACATAATGAAGAAACATATTATTCGAATTCATATATATATATATACACCTATATATACGCGGGATGTTCTCGCAAGCTCGTCGCAGGCCATGTATTCTGAGGCAAGATTACTGTTAAACGTATCCATAAGCTCACTTTCTTGAGAATGTTTTTTTTTTTTTATCTACTTCGATTACAAAGCCATTACCCCAGTTGTGGTCCAATAATAGACCTAAATCAATGTGTGCGTACAACAACTAACCTCTCTGTTTCCGCTAATCCTAATAGAAACCCGCGTCAAGAAAACGCAAACGAGTTATATTACACAAATATATAACACAAAAGCGATGCGTTTTAAGGCATGAGTTGGCGAGTGCACCATATACGATACTCTGATCGCGGTAGAAGACCATATATGTCATGTGGGGAAAACGACGTGATATGGGAAAGACAGTGCGAAACAACGCACAAGTGCTTCCCCATATACACATGCAAAATATGCTCTGCTCGCTTGTATGGCAACGCGCTCTGCCGTAGCAAACATCTTAATATGTGGGTCAACGTCGTAAAACGCAAATGGAATATATATAAAAATCATCTGGTTGCACTATGACCATGTTGTACCTTCTGAGCTTACACACACATGACCTCGACGAGTAGGGCTACACAGGCAATGCGAGGCCGTAGGTGATTTTATAATTTGAAGTAATAAAAAAAATGGAGTGTGTTCGAGGAAGCACGAAAGTCTGTCAAAATCCGTATTATACAAACCGTACGATACGTCGCGAAGACTCGTGTACACGGACGATGAATAGCGATGATGCAATGATAAGTAAAGATCAAATGGTACTAATAAAAATGTCGACAGTTATTTGTTGTTACTGATATGAAACGGTGTGGTCCTTGATCGATGCCTTTTGCTTTAAATTTACACTGTATCAAGTGTTCGAATCTAGCTGAGGCCTTGTAGGTAGGACTTCCTCAACAGACCTGTGCCATCGAGACCAATTAACAGCGTTGAAATTCTAATTGGCAAGTGCAGCGTGTATTGTTTGTCTCGTCCGGCGACCTGTGTTGTCGTACCTGATGGCCGAACCAACGGGCTGCATAATCTACATTTGTATTGAAATTGTCATGACCAGTTCTGATATTTGCTTGGTTTCAACTAGTCCTTCTATATGGTGTAGCTCAATGCGATTCGACCGATGATTTACTTTATTGAGAAGTATCTCGAGTTGTTCATTCAAAGTTTAATGGCTCGCCTGGAACCTGTGTCGTGCACCATTACATCGTAGCGTTTTGCTTCCTTTTTTTCATTGCCATCCTATCAGCTGCTCGACAACAAATCGCTCCTAGGTTAGTTGCGAGCTGCGGCGTTAGCTGAAATTGAACGAAATATTCATACTTACAAATAAAAAAACGGAAATTAACATAACGCTCGTCGTTCTTCTAGATACAACATCCTTTATTCTAACGTGTGTTTATGCACAGAGATTAGGTCGGATATGTACAAAGCAAGTACCGCTAATACATTAACAGTAATAATTACAATCCTAGATTCAACCCATTGGTTCTGTGTATGTATATCGTATCACGAGACACTTTGGCACAAGTCCTCTGAGCTTTTCTCCTTATATTTTTGGTCTCGTACGTAACACCTAAATGCTCGAAAATTACTTAAAAACATTTAATATTCAGAAGGTCTTTCTAAAAATGAACACTTTTTACATATGCCAATTTTTTTTTTATAATGTATTCATATTCTGGAGGGGTAGCTGTGTCATAATTATCCTAGAGACTACACGTAAAATTGACCTATACGACATAACCATAGTCCACTTAAAAAAGAACGCCGGTATAACTACTTCATACGAATTCCCCGTTGCTTTATCCGGTCAATTTGCTGCATGTTTGCCGCAGTAATGTTATAGGTGCTTACTGTATAAACAGGTGATGATGTGTCGAGGTGAAATGATAGAGAATACTCGATGCTCTGGTGTGACACGTACAGGGTCCATCTATCGGAACGTTCGATCCTCCTTTGCTTCCAGTCAACAAATATTGCTTTGGGCCCATTATCACTCCAGTCAACCTGTCCTTACCGGTGTCCTCAGAAGGATTTAGGTGGGAGATATTGACGGCTGTATGAAAACTACACGCTTGTGCACTTTGGCCATTGTTTCACGATGACGATCTTAATAGTTAGCTAAGAGAAAACTGTGCAGCCATCTAGAACATGCTTTGTTGGTACTTTTAGGACCCTTCGTGGTGGTACTTTTAGGACGATTCGGTGCATTTGTTTCGCAGCCGTAAGCTAAGACGATCGTTGTGGCCTTTCCTTCCGTCTGAAATCTGCTTTGCCGAATATCAACTAGTAAATAAATAAATTTCGGGCGGAGACTAGAATAAGTCGATGATCCGAATGGTGGAGTCGATTTCATATCTTTCACGCTGCATGTTCGCTACTGCTAAGTCCTGTCGTAACGGGGGCTTGCAGATCGCATAACGTCAAATGAACCGCTACAACAGCTCCTTTTAGCGAATTCCCGTACTTCTGGTGTTTTTTGACGAAGAACTTTCAGTTTGGCCAGCCTAACCATGTCTGATCCTTCAAACCTGACGAGCCTAATTGTCTACGTAACGACGCTGGTAACCGAAATCTATTCGTCTGTGTAAAAAATATTTATTTTTGTGACAGGTTCGTCGTCGATCCTCGTCACATTATTCACAAAAACATATAACGGTCTATCTATGCTATAGCACAATGTCGCTACCGAGCCGAATCAAATGAATTCGAAATATAGAACGCATCGAACGGAGGCAACGGAGGCTGGCCATATTGTTGTCGTCTCGTACAATTTCCGTATCCTGGTGTTTCGTTTTTGACCGTGATCCTCGAGTCAAATGATGGCACCTGCCCATATGGTTGCTGTTGTCTAATGCAATTGCCATATTCGTGGGTCTCTGCTTTAATCGTCGCAGCGACTCCCTGGTCAAAATATCCTCTATCAATGTGAGAAGGGGCTCCAGTAGCGCTACAACCTGGTAATACTAAATCTGGTGCCTTATTTCTGCCGACCGATGTGCCACTGCTGATTAGCCCGTTATAACAACTGTACTCGTTGTGCATGCAAATAGGCGAGGATTGGCAGGGAAGGTTACAAGTAACGTACGAGCTGAGGTGATTAAGGGGATTCAGTGCAGAATCTGCTGACTGTGTATCAGTCGTCCCAGGTACTGAATGGTGATAGAGATTAAAATGTTGACGAGTTGTTATCGCCGATAGCTGCACGTACGCACCGGGGTCAGCCATATCAGTAGACATTTTCCTATTGAGGGGGGTGCATGGCGTTGAGGCGGTACTTCCTAGAGAGCCTGAAAATATGGGGTATAGATAAATATACTACAAAATAATGTTGGATAAGAACTGTAGAAAAAGATAGTCATTTTTTTTTTTTTTTATGAAATTAAGGAAAGTACTATTAGCTGTTTGCGCCAGATGACGATTCACAAAAGATGGTTTCTGCTAACAGAAATATGCATTTAATTGGACTTTATACTGTTCGCTCGGGCAACGGTTTCGTAGCCATGAATGGTCGGGTTATTTTTTGAGCAAGGAGAATATTTTTTCATTAAGTGTGTAAAGAACGTATGAACTTACTAAAAAGTTGTAAAGAGGCGAACTATGGCTTACTTGGCGAAGTCATTGAGGTTGCTGGAGAAGTTTCATAACTTGAAGGTTTGCCTTGATCAAGTCCCCCGTCTCGGTACGCTCCAGGATGAAACGCGGAGCTACTGCCTTTGTCTTGTAACTCACAAAATTTTGCTTTGGAGCCAGATTCCGACAACTCGACAGGTTTCATCTTGGACGTAATCATAATGACATTTTGTTAGGGAACTTGGATGATTTCTGAACTTTAACGCTCTGTCATATTGTATATATATATGGCTAGGAGATCACTTTCAGCGCTTTTACGTTTAAGTCTGGTTTTAGTAGACTGCTACCTAAACAGTATTGGTTCGCGCCAAATTTTTAAGCACTGTTACCTTCAAGCTGGCGCAATTATAAGGGTGTATAGTTTTATCGAGATACGAAATGTTGCACAAGCAAAAGTCTTACCTTCTTGCGCGTGCCGTCGCTAATGCAATGACTTTTGAGATGTTTTCTAAGAGAGCTCGGATCAGTATATCGCTTTGAACAGCCGGGTATTGTACAAGCGTACGGTTTCTGAAATGCATCCATGCCATTAATCCAACACTAACTATCCTACAATTAACGTAAAGGCAAGTGATCAAGTTAGTTTCGCTCAAATGTGCATATCTATTTAGGCCTTAGCTAGCTAGCTAGCTAGCTAGCTAGCTAGCTAATGGTCCAAAATGAGATCCGCTGAATTTGGTAAGCTCCAAGCAGTGACCCTTTGCTTACGCTATCTTCATAGTATAGGTTCAGAATAGGAATAATGCCTTCAGTTCAGAATCGCTAAAAAAAGTTGGCCTATTTTAATGTTGACCACAGAGCTAGTCGGAAAGATAACAATCGATTCGTATAAGAAATGCCTCAGTAGGATACGCAGGTAGCACCTATTAATAACGAAACGCGAAGAGAGACGCTTGTTGTTGAGATTTGTTTTTATTATCGCATTGAGTCGAGGGTTGCATTGTCCTCAGCATCTACTAAGCTGATCAGTATGCTCAGATGCTTTGTGTATACAAAATCAAATTGTTTATAGTAGTCTCAATGTATTGATCCGTACGAGTTTAATTTAAACGTCTTAAATCAGAGATCAGACTTCTTCCGACACCTAGGGGCAATAGGTCGTCAATTTAATCGACTAAACAATTGGTTAACAATCACCCAACGGATAATATGATGAAACAGCAGAACTCAATAAATGACTTTGTACTGTTTGACCAATGATTAGCATGTAGCATGTAGCATATTTTCTATCTGTGTGTAGTTAATCCGCCATACTTCTGTACAAGTTTGCTACTTCTGATTATTAATTAATCTCCGCTTACGGTGTCCTGATGCGTTCGTTGGTGTTTAGCTCGGTCGGAAGAATTGCTGAACGCCCTCTGGCAGGCAGCAAACTGACAAAGGTAAGGCCTCTCTCCGGTATGGGATCTCAAGTGAATCTTGAGATTTTCAAGACGAGAGAACGCCTTATTGCATCCGTCCACCTGATATTAAAATACGGAAATCAAACAAAACTAGACTTATATTGAATAACGCCTATATATCTGTTGGCACGAGTTTAAAATTGGAAATTCAACCGTGGAAACCGTGCAAGTATCGGAAATTTTAGCTGAAGCAGCAGCAGCAGGGACGCTGCATCTTCGTACTAAGTGCACAAACAGTGAAAGGTTATTTATTACGTGATTTAACCAAACGGAAATAATCAAACTGTGAAACAGAAACGCTTACAGGTACTGTCTTCTTGAATGCTATGAACCACAGCATATACTATCATACATATATAGTCCCACTGATTTGATTTCTGTTTGATGCAGACTGTTATGAATACTAACCATACATTTATTAGGCTTTTCACCAGAATGTACTCGCATATGGATGATCAGTTTATACCGGGCACTGAAGGCCTTCTTTTTTCTTGGACACCCAGCCCAGTGACAGGTGAATTCATCCGTTGCCTGACTTCCAGGTAGGAATCCAACACCTAAAGCAGCAGAACTTCCAGATTCTCCGCAGTGTCCCCGTTGTCCCTCGACGTGCACCCGTTCAATGTGACGCACCAAATCCTCCTGATCGTCAAACGGCAAACCGCAATCCTCCCAGAGGCAGTCATAACATCTGCAATAGCGTAGTTCACAAATCGAGATAGAAATACAGGCCAGTTAGATAAGAATCATTAACAGTCAATCAAATTATTAAGATCCACTGATTCACTGAATAGGCAAATGACAGTAGCTTATTCCTAATCTAGTTTACTTGGAGTGTTTAGCAATAGACAGAGATATATTCGTATCTGATTTTAACGAGCTTATAGCGCGTGCGAAGATTAAGTAGTGAAATGGCAGAAAATACTTAAAAAAGAGCCTTGAGAAAGAGTTTTTTATAAAGCATATAGTCCAGATGCTTCATTGTTAGCGTTATCTGATTTTGAGTCATCACGTTACTTTTATAAGCCATCCTATAGGCTCTACAAACAGCTTCAGAAAATAGACCATTGGGCCTTGTAGATGTCTCGTTCAAGCAAAAAAAGAGACTATGTCAATTTTATGGTAAACAGCTAAGTAAGCTAACGGTTGTGTAAAGAAGCTTCAAACATCGGTTTATTTAATATTTCGAGTATATGTTTTCACCAGCTTAGGCCAACTATTAGTGGAATAAATTTGTGCCTTTATAGAAAAGAATACACTTTAATTTGGGATCATGAGAGACGTAGTTGGGTTTGCAGAACGCTTATCAGTGTTCTGCCATTATTCAAATCAAATGTATAACTTTTCCAATGGAAATTTTTTTACAATTTACCCAACGATGCTGACAACCATCCAATATGCCGTTCGTACAAAAAATAAAAAGCAAAACAAATGCAGGAATTATATTATATATATAATGATAGGAATTTCTAACTCGGCCGATATACTGGTCAGACTCAGTTTTTTGCGGTTTCGACTCTAATCAACAGCAAAAAAAAAAAAAAAAAAATGAAAACATAGCACAGAACAGATTCAAGACAGAAAGCAGACGAAGTCGCAGAAGGCATCGATGATCGATTTTGACAGCGACAAGTGGGTTTTCGAAACGAAGTATCTTCTTCTATTTCTGCCCCGCTAACTCCACATACAACAGGCCGTTTGGTGCCGATTGTATATATATATCTGTTAGTAGGTTTTGTGGTGTATCAGGGTCTCGTTAATATCAATAAATAATCAATTTAGCGGAGATGAACACCCCGAGAAACAGCCACAACGAGAAGAAAGTGTTTCAAGTTATCGCTTCCGCCACCAACTACTTATTCGGACCTCGATTTCGATAACATATAGATAATTTTCGCTATTTTTTTTGATATACATCTTGATGCTTTTCCTAGACGAGGAAATCTATTTGAAAAGGATTTTTCATTTGCACATTCAATTGCTGTGGCTCGTCTATTCTTTTTCCATTGAGACGAGAAAAGAAAGCTATACGAAAGAGTTGAAAAGAAATATTTTCCGTGAGTTTAGTACTACTATTTGTATTGCGTCATATGTATTTAAATTAGTACGGTAAGAAATAATATAACCAGAACTCTGTAGAGCACTACACAGCAGGGCTGGGTCAAAGAGGTTTCGATAGAACCCGTTGCTTTTGTAGCCGCCTAATGTCGAACGAATGATGTCCTAGCTGCTTCATATTCAAAGTCACATTTCAGAAAAACTGAACCTATGCTTTGTATATAGCCAACGCTTTGGAGTGAGTGACATAAGGCCATGTTTCTATCGATTAATGCACCTTTTAGTTCGATACCGAAAATAGCAAGTAACGAGCTTGCGTCAGGTTTTTGAAAAGCAGGTTATCGGTCGGCGCTGAATATCTGAACGAATATATTGGTAATCGGCGACTTGGTAATCGGCGGCACAGCCTTAAAGCTCACCCCCGTTCTGAGCGACCTGTCACAGCGGGCGCGGAAAAACTGCCGAACTAGCGTCGAATTACTTACAGAGCTATCACGGAATGAATGACCTTATTTTATGTTTATGTCTCATGTCGGATCATTTCAAAACATAGTTTGGACGCATGTAGGTTTTTGGGAAGAGTTGTGCTGATTGACATGAGCTTCGGGAACGTACAGGCCCATCAACATCGACCTCATGAGGGTATTCAAGAAAAACGCGCCCAACGCTTGGTTGAGATGACGGGACGTCTGAATGTCTGGGCCCGGATCTACCTGTAAAACGCAGGTAGAGAGTAAAAAAAGGAAACAATCCGCTTTCGACAGCCTTTTTCGGCCATCTCCAGTGGTTTTTATCATTCAGAAGAAACTATGCAATTCTGTGTGCGGGCATGGTGTTCAACTTTAGGCGAACAAGCTTTTATTTCTTTATCGCCCTACACGTTCACGCTTATATAGATAGCTTTTTCTGCAAATTATTCAGAGAGATTTTTCCGCATGATTGAATTGAATATTTTTTTACTCAGTCTTATGTATAATTAACTAAATTCAAGCGTTGAGCCAACTACTAAAAGTTGACAATTTTATTTTTCTATATATTTGGTGCGTTAGGAATATCCTTTATAGCAGACGAAAATAAATGGCCTTGTTCATGTATTAGTTACAGTAATAAGCATTGGTAGAAAAACATATACCTTTATGCATCATGCGGCACGTTTGCTAAGGCTTAGAAATCACAGGGACCGACTATGGAAGTAGATAGTATTGAGAGAAGTTCACATTGTATCAGCCAGTGTTGAAATAGACCTGCCTGGGCAACTAGACCGACGTCTAACAGTCTTATCTTGATAGTGCGATATCCACTGCTCTCTCATTTCCTGTAGTCAGTCATTCCCATGTGTTAATTTCAAATGGTGCCGAAACCTGTCTACGTTACGGATATTGCTTCTGTTCGTATCTTTCCTGAGATAATTTCTATTTCTATACACACGCATAGCTGCAACGATTAGGAGGGAGCTATATAGGCTAAGTTGAATAGCCGTAGAAATAATCATCCGACAAAGATTGATGCTAATGTTCAAGTAACAACTTTTGTTTTTTCAACGATGGGCGCAGTGACCGGTGAGTTATGCCGCTTCTGTCGGCGCTGTCATGGTATCTGGCGCTGCCGCTTTGTCCAAATGCTTCTCTGTCTGGAGCCCGATCTGCTGCGATTCGACTTCTACGACGATTCTGGGCCATAACCGGGGTCAATTCTTGCCCGGACGATGCAACCAGGAGTTGATTCCGCTATATGTTGGGCTGGGCTACGTGGCGTTCTTATGTCTTGTATCCGACCGCTTTGCCTATCTATCTGCCTCATGCGAAAGCTCTCGCCTGTCTCGTCCTTTTTCTCTGGCCGGCGAAGACTCGTGATTAATTTTCAAAGAAGTATAAAAGAAAACGGTAAAAAGACAGAACAGGGCTAGACACTACAAAGCACCAGAATCATTATACGCAAACGACCATTACGACTGGCAAAATCGCTGCGACTCCGTCGTATTCTATCTGGGCCAATGAATGATCTGGATGCTTATCTTAAACAGACCTGCTACCGCTAGCGTAACAACGGGACACTTAGAATTTACCAAGCGGATATGGTACCAGCGACTGAAAAGAGATGAGCAAATTATGGGATTTCCTTGTACCCACGTCAAACAGCTAATGCAACGCCACCACAGGCTACTTCAGACGGACCGCACACAAGATCCGAGAAAGTAAAAGTGACTAATCACTACAGGTCTGAGGTATCGACCGTATGACGAATGGCCGAATCAGGTGGACGGATATGGTTTGAATGAGCCAACTTCGACGTTAACGAAAACACGAATACAGGAGAATAGCCAAGCGTTTCGTACTTCTCGATCTAAACCAATAGTGTTGTCGTAATAATGGACCTGTACTGCCAGAGACAAGGGTTTGGCGCTCAAACGAAAAGCTACAGACAGAAGCTGTCGCCATGGCCGTTAAGCTTGTTCGTTTTTATCGTGTGGTTTTTCTTTACTTTCCCTTCGTCGTTTTCTGGCCACTTTGTGTGTTTGTGTTTCTAGTTATGTGTCTATGAGCTATGCGGTAACGTTCGGTTTGTCTGCTTCTTATTCATCTGCATGTCTGTAATCTGTCGCGGAACCCGAAAGTGGACACCTTACGCCTATTTCGACCTCCGGCGGTCTATACCCTGCGTTACGATGTCGTTTTCATCACAGCGGTATAACAGAGCGATCAAAATAAGCAGCGAGACCGATAAACGATGGAACAGGTGGTGACGGGTCGACCGATAAAGTTATGATAGCGGAAGCGTCAGTTCGACTGCAGTGGTACGGCCGCAGCCGTCGGCAGCTGCCGGCAAAATGCATTTCGCCGGCTCACTTTAAATAAATACACAGTCATGATCAACGCCATTGTGGCCGTCGGAGTCAATCACCGTAAAGACCGAAAAGTCAATCGTATCTAAACTTCGTCATAGCGGAATGAAGCTATTTGTTTTTTTCGTCGTGACAACAAATCAATTGGTTGTTGTATGCTGATTGTAGGTATAATGGTGACGCTAATAATTATCAAAAGCTACTTATTAAGTATAACGAGAGCAGCTAATTAGGACCGTAAAGCTGCGTTAGTGGAGCACTGATTTTCAAATAATTATATACATTTCATAGATAGATGCGTGAGGGAAGTTTCAAGCAATGCCTACACATTTAAATGGATTTTCTAGTAAGAACGGAAACTGTTTACGCTATCGTCAATGAACGGCCATCACAAAAGCGAGAAAATCCATTATGGAAGGGGGATCGCCGCGTGCCCTTGAACGGACACCAAATAAAACTAATAAAAGAGCCAAACTAGAACTAGTTCACACCTACTGTAGAGGTAAATAAATCGAGTCCAGCTGGAAACAGCTCTAAATACATCAAGCTACGTTCGTAAACAATAAGCACTTGTCAATAAGAAGCTATCAATCGAAATTGGCTTAGTATTTGTCAAGCGTTTTATCTGCGGCAAACATTTATCAAGTAAGAAGCTTTTAATTGCTCGAGTACAAAAGTGGCATATCGCGGTTTCTGAATCACGGACGCCTTTCAGCTAGCAAGCTATAGGGCTGCGCCTCAGAATGGTCAACAGGCCTTGCTCACTGTTTCATGTCAATTTTCAAAAACTACGCGTAGTGAATAATTAATAAGAAAAATAATTTTGAAAAGAAAAAAACAGGGCCAGAGGCTCGCCAACTTACTTCTCAGTCAAGTCGGAAGCTAAGAAAAACAAAGGAGTCTTTAGCAGGTAGGTAAAATCGATAGCAACCAATAGAGCGCTTAGTAAGTTCGTGGTTGTCTTCGTTCAAGCTTCCAATCAGTGTTTCACTACCAGTCACTGCCCGAATTGCCAATACTTTTACATTTAGCTGGACATGTTATATATATATACATATAGACTCGATGTACGACGTTCGGCATCGATCCCAGAACACGCTTCCACATGCCACTACAGGATATGGACTTCGTAAGCAGCCTTGCACTGACAAACCCTAACGATAACACACAAGATAGCCATTATAACCATCAGCAACAATACTATCATTAGCATTCTACTATACCTGTAAATGTTAGTTCGGCCAGCACTATGGCTACACAATGACGGCTGTCTCCGCCCCACCACAATCGATCTCCGTTCAGGTCAGAACAATCAGCTTCATATGCCCGGGACAATAGCCCCTTTATCCTGAATATTGGTCAGAGTGCTAAAATAGGCCGAAGTCCCACCTCGCCGATGTTCTGCTTAAATGCGCGTACATCTACGGCGTTTAACCGTTATTGTTGTTACTGGATCTATAATCAGATTACAATTAATTGACAACATCGGCCCCCACCGGTGCGGCTACAAAACGGTTAGCCCTCTCTGTAGCAATTAAATTGTATGCTTTTACGCTGTTCCATATATAAGTTGACCGCATAGCGTTATATGTGGCTCGTTGATACAATGTACGTATACGTATATGAGCACTGTATGTGTTTACGCAATTGTGTTCCAATTGAAATAGCTTCAAGAGGTGTTTTCCCGGATGGTATCGGTGTTAGCTTGACGTGAGTTTGGTCGAGACAGTCGACGACTGATTCGTGCTGCGAGACTGGTGACCATTTGAGTTTTGCGTGTATGTGTGGCTCTAACCTTGCTACGCTAGGAGCAGTCGCCGTAACGTACTTCGGCGGACGAACGAGCTTCGATTGAACTTGTTGTTTTTGTTGCCGTATGCTGTTTAGGGTGCACTGGCGTTCGCTTGATTCATAATACATAGCCAGATGGGTCTATTGAGCGATTACATATGTACGCGGTCCATCAAGTGACTAAAGAGACGGCATGCACTCGCAAAAACAACCATTTTTTACCCTTCAGTGGTATCACTATTGACTATGCACAGCAGACTCGCTGTTTTCCAGAGGTATACGCAGACCTAGACGTAGTTTGTCGAACTCACGTATAATCGGGTTCCACTCAGTCAACGTAATACATGTTGTTTGATAGACGAGCTACGCAGGCAGAGTCCTCAGTTTATCATATACATAATTAGCAAAGACTCGACTCTACCTACGGCTTTTCGTGTTTCTTTGCGAATTAAAGCAAGAGTATGTGCTTAAGGTTTTCAAATTATGCCTTCATTTAGATGATCACAAATTTCTAATCGAAGTTGTACAATGGAGAGTAGTAAGCCGGCGGTGTTGAGTTCCTCAGTCAAAGACTTCAACAATAACATTGACCGAATATCATTGACTAATAGGATTGGATTGTCCGGAGTTGCTTGGCGGGCCGAAAAATCAAAACAATTTTCAAACTACGTCTCGTTTATCTAAAAACTTCGTACGTATTTACATTAAGTTGTCGGAAACTGCAACTATAAGCTGATAAAATGCCCTAACAAAATATCGAGTCTAGAGACAAGGATATCGCTTGGGGCAAAAAACAAGTGCTCAATAACGAAATATATTTTTTCTCGAAATTAAGGCGCTGGTCGGGTTCACTGGGAATCAGATAGAACCTTGGCATGGGAGGCCTTTACCAAACCAGTGGCTTGGTGCAATTATTTGAAATCAAATTTCGGACTTGAAGTCCACAGATGATGATGGTGGTGATGATGGCGGCGGCACAGGACCTCAAACGGGCTGCTGTAACGGAAGCTTTTGAACGGAACAGAGTATCGAAAATACGCTTTCTGACGGCTTAATAGGGGATTCCTCGTCCAAGCTAATACTATAGGTCCAGGACAACTGAGAAGAGGCATGATCGTCATTAAAGTCAATTGACTCAACGGTTATCAGAAAAAATTCGCATGGAGTATACCGTCGCCAAAGACGGAAGCCTGCACTTCCTAGCAGCAAAAGAAAGGAGATCCAAATCAAATGGTGATGTTGAGCAGAACAGAAAGCAACTTCAATGGCTACTTCAATGGAACTAATGCCTATGCTCACAAGAATATCAGGGGCATTTGTTATTTTCAAATAGATAATTACCGAACAAAAAGTCAGTATTGCCAGCTATCTCGAATTTCTGAAAAGCTTCATTGATGTGTAGGCGCGGCGGCTGATACCACACAGTGTGGTTAGTCGACGACGATGTACGACCTTATCGCCATACTTATATCACGACCTGAATTGGAGAAAAGATAATTCTATGATGGCTTTAGCCTCCAAATGTTCTAGATTTAGGTTCGTGTACTTTCGCTTTCATGCTCTACAAGTGGCATAACATAACCCACCGTATATTTTCAAATAAGCCAGCGATAACGAAAGCAGATGTGGTAATCTCAAACATACAGCTGTTGAAAAGCTATTTAAGTGCCAACTTAAATTTAGTAGGCAGTAAAAAACGACCAAAATATTGCTGCTTTATCGAATATGATTTGAAGCTCATTTACGTTCTTCGACTCGCTTGATAGCTCCGGAAAATGAATATAGTCATTATTATCACTTTCCCTAATTGTTGTATACGTTACCGTTGTGCGTCACTGCCTCCCGAAGTCGCATCGAGCTCCGAAGCGAAATCGCTTCCAGTTGAGCTGTCAAACGACGAGTAATTCGACGGAAGCGAATCCGTCGAATTCATTTCATGGACTGCGCGTCCGGCTAGCCAACGACGTCTTTGTGACATTTGGAAGTGTTCCTCGTAGCTGGGCGGCGGCGGTCGCGGAGCTTCAGGGCCGGGCATCGAAGCACATGAAGGGCCCATTGCAGCGGAGGTACTCGCGCTTCCTCCAGGTGTTGGTGGCGGTGGTGGGCGCGATACAGACGAGGCGAAGGATGATAGGCTGGGATGTACAGGAAGCGGTGGGGGTAACGGAGGCGGAGGGGGTAACGGAGGCGCCGGCATTGTCGACGACGAGTGATTTGCCAACTGTGGCGGTAAAGCCAAGGGGGGCAGAACCGATGACGTATTGGCGATGGCCGTTGATGTAACTGGCGCAGAAAGCCCCGTTGACTGTGCAAGGGTGGAGGCCGATGCTGTGGCAGCGTCGGCGCCTGTGTTCGGGGACGTGGTGGAAGCAGACGGCTGGCTGAACGGATCGTCATCATCGTCCATATCAAAACTTATCTGTCGGCCATGCCAGGGTAAGACGGGAAGACAGGCAGGTGAAAACGGGATGAACGTAATGTTAAATGAAAGCAGCGCTGCTCTTAATGGATGGTACTAGCACACTCGAACACGACAACAAGTAACAAAGGGACAAAGCAAGAAAAATAAAAATTGATTTCAACGTTGTATTGAACTTCCTAATGAATTATACGCAATCAACTGTTTCTTTGTAGCGTGGCTAGAATCAAAGTCAGGACTTTCAAGTATATTTGTGACGAACGCAGCCATGTTTGCTACTCGAGTCTTGTTGATGTCAGCCATGTTAAATCATCGTATCGCATGGTAGATAAATGCAATCTGCGAATTAAATGTTGTCTTATAAAATAGAACGTAACATATCTAAAGTTAGACTAAGCGATCAAGGCTTAATAAAAATGTATGGGCATTGTTGCCATGTGTATAAGCTTTGCGGAAGAGTTGGATGGAATGAAATGCTGGGAGGCAAGATGCTCTGTTGTGATGCACAAAGAGTGTAGCCAACGCTCTCCGTGCAAATGTCCTTGAGCCAAGTCGTCTCCTGCATGGGGGCCGATCTCACTCTAATAGACCGCCATCCTCAGTGTACCGTTAAATGCAGAGATTACGTTGTTTATAAACCTTAACTTTTTAGATTCTTTCCACGAACATGGTTTTTCCTTTTCATTGCAGTATCAAAACACAGGTATTCTTAAGAACTTCTTGCCCTTATGCTTCCGCACCGTTTAGTTACTTCAGTACTTCAGAAACAGCATGGGTTATTTTCGTCGTGTTTAGGACTGCTCAGTACTGGTAAGCGACGTTGAAGAATGGCGTCTTAAAATACATAATGTAATGAAAAGATGTGCTCATTATTGTCAACCGCATAAAGTCGATAAGGGCTAAGTGAAGGCACCTTTGAAGAATGAAGGCCAACAGAGAGTTCGTAAATTGCGCATAAAGTAAAAACAAATTGCAGTCATCAATATTTATCCATAAGCACCTTAAGTCCATATGATTTACTCAAAAATTAGCCGTTCAAGTGGTCAGTCGAAGTAGAAAGGAACACGGCTTTGTCATTGCCTCTTAGCACTTCGCCCGGGGCTGTGTCAAGAATGACAGATTTGCTTATAGAAATGACATCGATGGCAAGAAGTGGTGTTTCCACGTAAATCCAGAGCAGCTAGTACCCGAAGGTGCGCCTAAATCCGGACTTAAGCTAAATCCTAATCCCAAGTAATCGATAGTCTTAATTTAATGGGACCGGGAACTGCTCGACGAGAACAAAACGGCCGGCAATAACATGTATTTTGTCCAGTTACATCAAAGAAATGAGGCTAGACAACAGAAAAAAAAACACCGATAAACAAAGTAAAGTCATTCTTCTTCACGACAATACCAGGCCGCTCGTTTCGGAAATTGTGAAAACCAGTCTACAAGAGCTTGACTGGGATTTTCTTTCGTACCTACCATATTTTCCATACTTTGCTCCGTTGACCACTTTTTCCAATAATTGGCAAACAGAATCAGTAATCAAATATTTGCCTTAAAATCTAATTGGACGAGTACTTGATAGCCAAACCCAAAAATTTCTAGCAAAAAAAAAATAGGTACATCAGGTGTAGGAATGCTGCGATTGTGGACAGTGCAGTAGACCAGAACTAACGAAACTGTAGCAGACGACATCTGAATTATACCATAAAATGATGCCCACTGATGATGTGACTGCCAGCGATTAACGTAAAAAATTAATTTTGCAGCACAAGTTACAGTTCGATGCAAAAATAAAATAATAAAAGAGATAAACTAGCATATCTTCGTCGTTATTTTTATCCTCATTGAGATTATTAAATTTTTTCAGCTCATACATGTGGCCTAAGGGAATGAATACGGTTCTTCTTTTGCATACGCAAAGTTTTAGCAATAACAGTCATGCACTTCAAGGGGGATCGGCTTTCTCCGCATCTCTCAGCTTTTCCTTATTTAACTTTGCGGAAGCCTTTCATTTCATTCATCTTCAAACTCGAAATATTTTCCGACGATTTTTGAAATCCTTCACCAAATACGAGGTTCGTACGGCCAATTGTCTCCGCCGTCGTAGCTTCAAATTGAAAATCATACTCGTGAACGATTTGAACTTTTAGATTTTTCATAGTTTTACTGTAACTCAAGTGTATCTCTCAAATGAAAAGTAAGGCGTCGCAAAATGTCGAACCCCTATAAAGCGGTTCCATTTAGAATATCACTATGCGCTTAAAAGTGTTGCTAACTGCGAGATATGTCGATCGAGAATCAATGAACGTTTATTGGTATCAACACTTATATGCATGTTGCATTAAACGTATAGGCTAGTGTTGAGCTACCATCAAAATGGAGTTAATGAAACGCTCACAATCGTGTCATGTTAAAAACTTTGTCGAGAAATCGCTGACTCAGTATCAAGCACTGTCTTGAATGGCTTGTCCCAGCACAAGACAAGGTGGATGTACGCCCGGTTTTGACCTCAGAGCTCTGCGGAGGTCATTACGCTAAGTTGACAAACATGCCGTCAAGCAAACACGGAATATCTACCTGAGATCGAAGTATACGCTCCATACTGGAGCACTGTTGAATAGGTGGCATAAGCGCATTTCGTGCAGGTGCTGACGACGCTGCTGCTGTCGGCGGTTCTGCAGGCGTTGTAAATTGGTGGTCTGTATACGCATTCTCACGAATCTCACCCAACGGCTGTTGTTCAATGACGGCTAAGTTTGCATCTACTAGCTGATCGCCATGATAGGACGCCTGCTCGAGTTCCTGAATGGCCTGCAAGGCTAAATCCGGAGAGACCATGCCACTCGTGGCCGTGAAGCTAAACCGCCTTGGACTTTGTTCCGAGTTCGGCGAATTCTGTAAAGAGTTCCTCGCAGATAAATGGCCATATGAACCTGAGCCCGACAGCAGAGAACTACGAGAACTGTTCAAGTATGCAGCGAGAGATGTCGGAGAAGTGCGGATAATAGTGTTAATGTCAAGGGAACTTGGAGATTCGCTAGGAGACTGCGATAAGGATCTCTTATTGCGAGCAGATCCGCGTCCAAACGACGATCTAGTTGAACCACTTCGCGGGCTGGTGAACGTCGATGATGTTGGAGACGAAGCTGTAGAACTATTTGTTTGCAGCTGTTGGATCACTGCGCTGACATAACTGTAAGTAGAATCATTACAGGGCGTGATCGGCTCCTCGTCAACGTCTTGAGTCCAACTACGACTCGTTAACTGGGCTAACGCCTGCAGACACGTAATAATGTTATACCTTTAAGTAGTAGAAATATATACTCCTGATACGAATGACTCGGGTGGCCAAACTTTTCATTGAGACAGAGCAAGAAGGATCCCTGCTTTAAAGATCTCTTAGGGTGCCTGTACACTACAAAATTTGTGTGGATAAAATAAGAAAAAAATGCTTGATACATCTTACCAATATCAATCTATATTGAAATTAGTATTTCTTGGACAGTACGTACATCCAATAGTACAGTCACCATTAGTGTATATCTGTATATCTAATCAGATAATCCATGAATGATATACGGGAACGATGGAAAAAGAACGGATCCTTGCCAAGTAGGTTAAAATGCCGATATTTCTTTTTGCAAATTCGTTTCTATGGGGTTACAATTTTATTGTTTCATACCTGATTAATTTCATCCGTACTCGGTATGTATTCGGCACTGTGTGACGACGAAGGCCTAGGATGAAAGTCACTATTGCGATCCGAGATGTGATCGGGGAGAAACATCGATCCGGAGGAACTCGACGCCGCTGAGCTACTTCCGGCCGACGTGTCGGGGCTGTGTTCATGGTGGGGCATTCGCGATGCTAATGAATACATCCTCGACTGTTCTGGACTACATGCCGTTGCAAACTCACCTTCTGTAATCAATTAAATTTGAATTGAATTTCAAAATGAACACAGTGTAACAGGGTGTAAGCTGGAAGAAATGATTCAACCCATAATGAACTCGTTACCAGACTGGTCCTTCTAACTATTAAAACTCTAAAAGCAGCTAAGTTTAACTTGCATTTAATGCATTTTCCATAGCTCATAGCTGTCACTATGCGCATTACGGATGTTGACGATATTTCTGGGGTTACTGTTGGTGATTTTTCGGTATTTTCTACAATGTGAAGTAACAGTCTCGTTTTCCGGAAAAGAGGTTTTGAGTTTATCTTTAAAGGCTTAGCACTGCATAGGGCCCGCACATATTAAACAGGTGTCATAGCCGGTATGGTCTTTTTTAGTAGTGGCAGAAGATCATGCCTTTGCAAAAAATATACAATCATACAGCATAGCAACTTTTGAAATATTGTCCCAGAAACGAAGAATCGGTTAAACATGCATTAACAAGTAAGTAGTCAGGACACCACGTCAAGGAGAGCTGTGCCATATCTTGTATATTTTCGATTACCTACAATCGCCTATATAACGACTACATCTTCTTTCCAAAATAGGCTCTTAGTGTCCCTGTTTGTTGCTGTTATTTCCTATATAAACTTGTTTTGCAAGAACCCAAAGCTAGTACTAGAGTAACTTGTTGTTCCAAGTTCTACGGCTACCAGATTCTACGGCTATACCTTCACATAGTTTGGTACAGATAGAGAACGACATAAAAAACTGGATTTCTATCAAATGTTTGTAAGGCGGCGCAACGTGTTTTTCAGTTATAGGCAAAAGACGGCGATATCTACTCTAGGCATTACACGCTACGTTCACTGACGTCGACGTCCGATCAATTCAACGGTACATCTTCTTGCAAGACAAATCTCTTACGCGAATTCAATCTGTCTATCTAATAAATAGTGGTCTATCGCAAACGTGGTTCAACAGCTTACGGCGTCGTATAGCCTCACCGAATGTCGATCGAACCAAATCGATCATGTGTGGAGACCTATCAATCCGTCCATATATTTATGGGCTGATTTTACAATTTGCCGATTCGCTACCCGTTGGGTCGAATGGATGCATAAGCAGGCGTGAAGACTGATGATCTTCCTATACACACGCGCATATTTATACATACATACACGCTCCTCGCCATTACTAAGGTGACTATGACCACGTCCATTTTTTTTTGTTTGGTCTTCTAATTACTCAGCTCAGCGGTCTTGGCACCTGGGCCGCTGTTACCACGGGAAAAATTAAGCTTTTCAGACAATGGACAAAAAACAGACGGAAAGAACCCATCTGTATTCTTTCCTAGGGTGTAATTCATTGGAGGACGATCCAGTAGCATGAAAATCTGGTAGTACGGGGTGTGATGTCCCACGTTATGGTTCCACAGAGCCGCACTGTAAAATCTGCGTTGTCGTTTAGCCATGCCTATTGATTTTAGCACGGACGAGCCATGTCTAGTGCTACGAACGGCAGGATCGATGCTGCCAATGCTGATATGTATGTCGAAGTCGCTAGCGACGAAAACGATACCTTGTTGCGTACAATGTTCTTCGTTTGTATTCATGCGTTTTTAACATGTTCGCGAACGTAGGAAACGCGCCGAATGGCCCCGACCCGGCAAACGTCGATGCATCGCACGTATTTATCGATATTGCTGTTCCTGCTGTTTTAGGTATTTTTGTGTTAGCATCGCTGCTAACATCTAACATTCATATACGTGCATTCTATTGTCTGATCCTGTACATGCAAATTATGCCGGCACAGCGAGGGCGAGTGTGTGTTCGTTGCAGTAACGTTTGGCGTCATTCTCGTCGCCGCTTTCATTGACGTTGACGTTACGCGAACGGTTAGTTCCGCGTGTTCGTCGTAGTCTTCGCCGACGTGTGTCGGCGTTGTTTGTGTCTTAGGGACGCGTTTGCCTACACTTCGTTTCGCGCTGGGCGCCAGCCGTGTGACCAAACGTGCCTAACGGCAATACCGGACGTAAAACTTGAGACATAGAAGTCTTTCTCAAACGTTCGAATTCAACATTGAACTTTATTCGAATCAATCAGATTGAGTTATTTTGGGCAATAATATGCAACTGGATATATTCTGGATCATACTAGCAAAATCGACTGTGGTTGACAAGGCGTAACGTCTCACCGTCAGAATAGACACGACAATGTCAACAAACGGAGATTGTTGCTACTGTTTCTATCACAAATCGTGCCGCCATATTGACCTCCAAGTGGACGTCGTCTGTTTTTGACCGAAACCGAATTATACCAGTAGCTTCATGGCTCGCACTCGGCTGTTTTTCTCGGAGGCTACTAGAAGCCGCCTCGGCGGAGGAAACGATATGTTCGATGGGTGTCGTACGTATTATCGTAGCTGTTGTTGCTAGTACATGGCACCCTCGAAGTAGCAGTATCCAATTGTCAATTTCGGACGACGCCAATATAATCGGACGCGCAACGGCGGTTGCGCTGGTGGTAATAGAATCCATAGCGGCACCTATATATACTGCTAGAAGTTGCCAACAAATTACCTTACAAGTCCGCTTAGCTAACGAAGGCGCTCAATACTGTCGACCATAATAATGGCCATAACCGCATATTGCCAGAAAATGATTATGTGGTTGACTGATTGTTCTTGTTAAAGTACGTTTGCTGTTATATATTTAATGTATAATTTTCTGTTTTATTTTTCAACAAACAATGAAGTCAGTATTGTTTCTGTTGCTGCAGTAAAGTGAAGAAGGCATAATGTAGGCATATTTAGTAGATAAGTATTGTCCTGCGTTAGCCTTTGTCAACTCGACGCTAGTCATTTACAGTAATAATTCCGCCAGATCCTCTTTCTAATTTGCCAAGATTTTCAAGGTTGACGGGGAATAATTTCAAAATAATTTTAGTTTCGATAAAACACGCCCATTTGACATATACCCGAGGTATAACTTAGCGTGCACTATTTCGATCGCGCAAAACCCCCTAAGTACCACATTACCGATAACCTAATTCTCTTTGTTGTTTCTCTGATAAACCGGAACAAATTGTATTGCAGAGGTAGTTCACGATTTCAACCGTAGACATTGGGTTTCACGATTCAACTGTAGAAGGGCATTTGAAACGACTAATTTCTAAGCTCTAAGTTCAAGACCCGATCAAGCAAACCGTTGTTTTTCCTACTCGCCAAATACTTGCGCTGCAAGTTAGGCTTTTAACATAATTTATATTATTATTAGAGACAAAGACTGTGTTTTATCAAAGGAAGACAATTAATACCAGCGTCGATTTTGTTGATGCCCATTTAATTGACAACTGCATATTCCTGCCACTCGTATTTGTGAGTCATTGAAAAAACGTCGGATCAGCTACCCAAGGAAAAGAGCATTTGAGGAAGTTGCACAGGGAAAATCAACAACTTTTTTAGGGGAACATACAGCCCTCGAACTACAATACATCTTTGATGTCAAGTAGACACTACGTGTGTATCACTGTTAATATTGATTCTAATCTCACTAATAATGAAATTTATTTATTATATTAATAATTGCATTACTTATAGGGCAGGCATAAGATTATAGACAAAAAAAAACCGTGTATCCATAAAACATCGTTCAGCATTATAATTAATCCTATGATTACTCTTTTTTCCTCGTGCAAAGATGCAATTGAAGGGCTTTTCATGACAAAGGGTGGTATGCTTAGCTGCTACTGGATATGTCTTCGGGTTGTATTGCAGCTCGTTTAGGGGCCCAAGTAACAGTGACCCTCAAATAAAGGCCATCAGAGAGCGACCTGCCCTTTGCAATACTGCCGTGAAACTGAGCAACCTGCGCTATCTGTATGACTTGCTTACCCGACTCTCGTCTCGACCCCAATGGGCAGCGAAGAACCATCAGTGTTCTTCTCCTTTGAATATGAAGTGTACCTCCTTCCATCACGCGTGTAGCAGCAGCAAAAGCAGTAAAAAAAAAAGCTGACAAGGACGCTCAGCTTACGGCCTACTGAGTGATACAATGCTTTACTGGCAGACTGGGCTTTTGGGGTAGACACGAGCATGGAAACTGGCCCAGTGATAGTCTCTCGTCTAATAGAATCGGCCAACGAATCTAATACTTCTTAACTGGCCTTTCCTATGCACGCGCAGAAGTCTACGCAGAGACAGTCAAGATACAACTCACTGACAGACCAGCTCTTCCGCAATACTAAGAAGAAGCTCGCTTTCCGATAATGATTAGTGAAAGGATATGAAGAAAAGGGAACTTTGTTTGCAAGTGTTGAACAGTTATAATGTGGCCCGCAACAGCAGCAGAATCGGTATAATAAGCTTCGGCACAGCAATGATGGCTTCAAAATTGCCCGATATATGCCAAAAAAGCAGTAAACACGGATTCGAAATATTTTTATAATGGTATTGTTTATACTTAGAGGGATACTGAGAATAATAAGCCGCCAATCGTGTTGTTTTCCCTTGCTTGTTTGTAAAGCAGAAATCACCATCACAGCAGAAAGTAATGAATATCCATACATATACAGGGCAAATCGTATTCCGAGGTGGTAATGTAAGTATAATGTAGTCATGCTATATATCATACGTAAATCATATGCGGTAAAATACATATGAATAGTATTGTATTCGAGGTCTATATATATACATGTATATATGTCATAGGGTTTTGATCGATTAACGCTAAAAGGCCATGGAATAGTCAGGGGGATCAGTGCAGGCATAATCATAGAACTATGCGCTAAAATCTTTCTTCAAAAGATAAAATCAGTCAAACATAGCCTGTCTATTAATTACTTCAGATAACAGCGCATACGCCGTAAACCATTGACAAGCTGAAGTTTTATCTAGTCAAATCCATGTTATTGGTCTCTACCCGTATCCCGTGTCGAAAAGTAAACAGACGCATTTTCTTCCTACAGGCTACATAGTTCGTTAATGGCAGAAGCTATAACCGAAATTGCCTGAAACGCCACTTCTTCTA